GATTAGGAATGGGATTAGCTATCCCCTAGTTGATCTGATTCCTCATTTTTTTTTTATTAGATTTTGTATGAAATAATAAACACATGAGAAATCGGAGATATTCAACAATCATAGGTTTCAAGTCACAAGTTATAGATTAGGGAGTACGATTCTCTCCCCTTCTATTCTCATTCCCTTTCCTCTTCTCTTTTCACACATTGTTTTTGTCTTATTGTCTCTAAAAAAAAAAAATCAATATAAGATGTTGAAGTAGCTTAACTATGATCGTTCAAATAAGAGGAAAGAAAAAGAAAGAAAAATTAGGATAGAAGGGGAGAGAATCCTCTCCCATAGATTAGATATATAAACTCGATAAGCACATAATAAAAGAAAGAAAAAGCTCCTAATTTTAATTTCTGTACAGTGTTGAAAATTTGACAAGATTGATTTAAACGAATAATTGTCTCATGTATTATGAATTTTACATTAGTGTGATTATCTAATCAAGTCAAGAATCTCACCTAACCCGTACTGCCTCCCCAACACCACCGCCACTCTATTTCACTTTCTAAAACGTTGCGAATGTCAAAGAATGAGTCTCATGATTATAGAAGGATGAACTTAGTAAGTTAGGCTACTATTTATATTGCCAATTAGTTTTATGGTGAAATCTGAATTTTCTTCATGGTATCAGGGTAAGTTATTCTACGTGTGAAGCCAAACGGCCACATCACCTCGTTGTATTGTCTACATGTTAGGCTTGAAAATTCGTTACACATAAGGGAACTTGAATGGGCTTAATAAATAAATTGAGTTACTTTCTATATTGTCAATTAATTTTATAGCGAAACCTTAACTTTCTTTGTGTAATACAAGCACAAGTACATTCCCCATCCTTCGTGCGACACACCCTGATTCCATTCAAAATTTTGCTTGCAAACAGACGACGTACTGGCTCGCATAGTATAAGTAATATATATATATATATATATATATATATATATATATATATATATATATATATGAGAGAGGCACATGGCCTTAATTACAAGACAGCCATATCGAAGTAGTTGACATGTAGCATAGGTCAAGAATATATATAGAATGGAAAACTATACGTATATCTATAGGGTACAATAAGAAAATACGAGGCACATGCCTGCCTTCACTCGTGGAGATATTGCTGGCAATAAACTCTGTGATGAACTTGTACATATAACATTTTCAATGAGGATCGACATTGTCCATGCATGCAGTTTCTGAAGATAATATAAACACTGAGAAAACAAATTTGCTATCAAATGAACTCTGATTAATGATAAATTTTGTAGGTTAAAATGATCCACCACCAATATCACCGATATTGTCTCAACTTAAGCAACTATTACTAGGTGTTAAATTTTATCACAAAATACATCAAACATTAATTATATATTATTTTATCATATGACTGATGTGAAATCTTATTTTCAAACAAATAATGATTTAGGTTTAAAAGAACAATGTACGTAATAGCTAGCTATTAGCTAAGTCCAGCACTAGTACTTTAATTAAATCTGATTAATTATTTTTCGTAATTAATCCTCGTAATATATATAATATGTATGGGTGAAATTTTTTTAATATTATGTCGAGTACGGGTGAGATATGCAGAAGGGTTTGGTTCCCTGAGTTGGAGACCGACGCCACTTTTAAACGCTACTTATCTTAAGGCAGTGGTTGGCCAGAACCAATCTCATTTCTAACTGCTCCCAATATAATGCCCAATTTTCTCTTTAATTTTTCTAATAATTATTGGACATATATATGTATTAGTATTACCACATGCGTGGGGAGCTAGAGCAGCTAACTTAACTGGACTCTGTTCCATGCATATGACTGGCCTTCCGTCTTTCCTGAATGATGTTCAAATTCACAAGTTCCCTTAATATTTACCCGGATTATTTGTTTAGGGTTTCTCTATTGCGATCTGATCGACTTCTCCTTTCATGTGTCGCCGTGTTTAAGTGTGGTCTAAACACGACGGATGATACATACGAGTTTATTTGTGATGGATGGATACATCGATCATACATGCAAAATGCATACGATTTTCATACGTAGCTAGGAATCTGAAAAAAGTAACGTAGAGGACGAGCTGCATGCGACATATTGATCTTGTACTGGTATGTAGTGGATCAGTGGGGTTCTTCTTCCATCGATCAGGCAACATGTGAAAGCAGAGTTTGAAGGTTTATTTGCATGTGGCTTGTTAATTTCAGAGAGGTCCCTGAAATGGATGTATCATATGTGAAAGTAGGAGACATGAGAAGGTGGAATGGAGTTATATATAGAATTGGAGTGAATCTGGTACTACAATCCAAGTAGTAGTTTCCTATTCTTTCTCCATGTTTTATGTGGTGAAGGATGTCTCGTCGGCTTCATGCACTTTTCCTTTTTCTTCCTTTCCGATTCTGGACCCATTTGATCATTATATATATACACAAATTAACGGAAATTTCCGCAGCTTTAGGGACAGTGTCTCCCCAGGCCCTCATCCAAAGGGAAAATAGAAATGATGACTCTCAAAAATGGGATTCTCTGTCATCTCATCTTTTAACATTAATTTTCGTACTAATATTATTAAACGTTATGCCAAAAACAAAAGATGACGGAGGGTCCTTGGAGAGTCCCATTTTTTGAGAGAATCTACTAAGTATTTCTCAAAATGAAACTACACGTGTTTAAAACTATCTCACTCAGTACTAAAGTTTGGTGGTATTCCTCTTCACTTGTAAGTGAGAGGTCTTAGGTTCGAATAACGTGGATGGCGAATTCGATACCAAATTAGGTTGCTCATTGTGTGAGTTCCGAACTCCTCCTCCTCCTAGTATAAAATATATCATTGTACTAAAAAAAAATAAGAATTTTATTAGTGACTAATGGAGGGCAAATTATAGGTAAAACAGTCATACATACCCATCACCACTTGTAAACGAATTAATTGTACACGTTTCATGCTTCACAAATCTCGTATTGAGAAATTTTTGTCAGGTTTTTTTCATTCATAATTTTCTGTTATTGATTCCTCGTCCAGTAAGAAGAACTTCGGCCAAAATAAATTGAAGGTTAGGTAACAAACTACGTCCCTCTCTTTTGCTTAGTTAAATGGTTAGTGAGGCTCGGAAGCAAGCAAGACTGCACGGTTCTACATTCTGTTTAGGTTAACTCAAATTAAATGTGTAACATCGGTTTGATAGATTCTTACATACAATCAGAGATATTCATCCTCTGTATCTCACTCTTCTCTTATAGCTGAGATAAGTTCTATATACAAGTTTCTCTCACCATACGCATGTGGATAGTTTCAACTTTTTCAATCCAAAAATGGCCCATCCAAATTGAATCCTCTCAGGATTTCTGTGTCTGGAGCTTAAGGACTAGGAGATTCAGACCGTTAAAGAGAGAGATTTGAATTCTTAGTTTGTGTTAAATGAATCAGTTGAATAGGCTAATAGTGGCTACATGATTTCAAATGAGTGATCTAATTCTCTTGATTCTTGAGCTACGAACACAAAGATCCGAAAATGATCTCTATTCGGCCCATCCAAACAAAACTTTAAACTTTCAGTGCAAATGAAGTTGAAGAACGTGAGTTGAAGAAGAGAATAAACAAAAGACCAAGAAAGCACAAGAGAAAGGCTCCAATAAGACAGCATACAAGCACATATGATCTCCAAATCCACGACAAGCCGACTAACCACATCGCACATGAACAAGTATTTTATCCTTCTTTGCTTCTTCTGGCCCACCGCATTCAAGTACCCCTCAATCAACCGTTGATTGAGTCGACTTAATGACAAGGTTAACCTCCTTATGCTTCAAAGGTTCTACTTCTTTGTACATAAGACAAACATAGTAGGTAATCAGAAAAAGAAGATAAAAATGTTTTATTACCCAAAAAGGCACTGATATTGATCCTCCATTCTTCGGTACATACCACAAATCGGAGCACAGTAGAATTTTCTCAACATAAAACTAATTAGAAACAAAAAATCATTGATATTTTATCTAATAAAGGTGCATCCTACCATTGTATGTGGCACCACTTACATTAGAGAGAGTGTGTAACCTCACAAGTCTCACATACAATAGTGGCATACAATTCTATAAAACTATGTGTTAACAAGAATGTCAGTTTTGAGCGTCTGAATAATAATATTTCTTTTTACAAGATAATATCTTATTTATACTAATTTACCATTATAAAGATTTGAACTCGATGTAAAAGTTTTGATCAATTGTCCTAAATTATGAGTAACATTTATATGAATCATGTCATGCAGTGTTACCATTTCACTTAAATTATAATGTGAATCTTTTTATTAATATATCTTAAAAATAAAATATATCTATTGTATCATCTACCTATATTAAACTCACAAAAATTATAACGCCAAGTGACCGTGTTGTAGTTGTTATTGCATAGGGTGAACCGCATGAATTATCACCATGATGAAAATTAGGCCCCTGAATTATTTTTGGATAAAATAAGTCCCTTAATTCATACTGCTAATTTCATCCCTAATATTATATAAAAGCTAGTTTATCCAATTTTTTGTCAACTTAAGTCACATGACACATTTTAAAGGGCATCGTCTTGTCTTGCCTATGAGCTCTTAACGTTGCATATAATTTATGAATCTAAAGTCTAATTTACCCTGAAGGTTAACTTCATACACTATATCTTTGAAAAAAGTAGTCCTTAAACTATGAAAATTTATTAGTTTACCTTTTAAAGTGTGTCACATACAAATCACATGACTTAAATTGAAGAAAAATTGAATAGAATTGCTTCAAATCTAATATTAGGATGTAATTAGCAGATTTTATTAGTTTAAAGACTAATTATTTTGAAAAAAAAAAATTTAAAATTTTAACTTTCACTCAGATAATAATTTAATTAGAGACTAAATCAGCAGTTTACATGCTGCATATATAGAAAAGTTTGCCCAAACCCTCAGATGCGCTTTTGCGTTTAGTTATTTACCCATCTCGGATCCGTCTTCCACAGCTCCACTACACAAAGCTATCAAAGTTCAAAAAAGTCTTAAGTCCTCTCTCTCTCTCTCTCTCTCTCTCTCTCTCTCTCATATATATGAGAAGAGCAGATACCTCGTTCTCCAATTCTAAAATATCACTTCTTTAATTTCTTGGCGATCTACTTTTTCCTATGGCTCTCTTCCCTTTTGCACCAGAGGCCACAGAGCCCAAGAAGAAAGAAACGCCACCATCAAAACGCAGGCAAAAGCAGTCGTCTTCAACCAACAAAAAGCAGCAAAAACCACCGTCCTCCTCCTCCTCCTCCTCATGGGACCACATCAAGAACCTTCTGACCTGCAAACAGATCGAAGGGTCTAGAGTACACGACCCATCGAAAAATAATATTGTCGGTGGCGCAGCTGCCGACCACGGTGGAGGCTACTCGAAGCTGGGGTCATCCTGCAGCTCCATATGCAGCTTCAGAGATGTCGTTCATGGGAACACTAGGGTCGTTCACAGAGGTGACAGCTCGTCGCCCGAGAGTAGCACGCTGGGTCAGGAAACCGGGTTACTGGCTCGGAAACCTGCAACTCGGTCAATCAGATCCAACGGTTCTGGTTCTTCTGCTGCTTACCAGACGTCATCATCCTCCAGAGGAATGCAATTCCGGAAGCTCTCTGGGTGTTACGAGTGCCACATGATCGTTGACCCTAGCAGGTAGATATTAATTTGCACATTTTTTATTTATAGACCTTAATTTAGCTAACTTAGTTAGAGTAGTATCTCATTTTTTTCACTGAAGTTCGAGTTTTTATCCCCATAATTTAGATTTAAATATAGTCTAAAATACCACTTAAAAAAAATTAAAATACTCTTATGTTTATACAGGTACCCAGTTCCTAGGTCTACTATTTGTGCTTGCTCTCAGTGTGGAGAGATCTTCCCAAAGATGGAGAGTTTGGAGCATCACCAAGCAATTCGCCATGCTGGTACTACATAATCTATTTTTCACACGGAATTAATCATTTTCACGCTGAATTTCCTTTAATTATTTCATGGTTTATTTATTTTATAGGCAATATGCTTTTCTCCATGATTTATTCTTTCAATTTTCCATCACATTTTATTAATTTTTTTACATAGAAATAGTGAGTTTATATGGCTTATATGTGATAAAGTGCACGCAACTACGTCTCCATATATAGTTTTTGATATTTTATTGATAGCCTCTTTGTTTGGCTAAAACTTTGTGCATTCTTACAAGCTAATTTTGAGCTAAAATTGTGTTTTAAGTCAGTTAATTAAAATAATGTATATATTTTCTTATCGTTAATTTGAATTTTATTTTTCGTAAGCTTGAGCGATTTAGAATATCATTTTATTAAAAAATACTGGTAAAAGAGAAAAGAATCCAATGAAATATATTTTTTTTCATGCATGAATAAAAAATTGTGCTTCTTAATTTGCCGCGAGTCTTGCATCTAGCATATAACTAATCATAAAGGCAGTCAACTTCATAGAGTACAAACCTACAGCTGTCCATGCACAACCAAATAAATGATCCTCATTTGTAAGGTGGCCTGCCTTAAATAACTGGGAGATGAACTTGTTGTATCCCGCCTAATAATACAATGTTTTATGTAAAGTTCTATAATATATAACGATGTATTATTAAGATAATTTGAACGTTATTTGATAGTAACTTGTTTTCATGCATATTTTGTTTTTTATGAAAGATTTTTTAATGTGTCAAGAATATAGTCTGATTCATCAAGTTTAAATTATGTATTAGTACACTTGGTGTACTAATCATGTTCCGGACATTGAAAGTTTTCAATTTCTTAACATCATTTACCCCACTTGTGACGTCAAAGACTCAAAACTCAGAAAAGTTTTTAGTTGTGACAGGAACACAAGTGGTATATCACGTATTTTAATAGGAGTGGTGGGAAATTTTATTTTTTAAGTTATTAACTTTTTAACACACATATCTTATGACACGTGGTGTTTCATTCTGTGTACCGATCACACTGAAAAATCTCTCCAAAACTCAACCATCACGACCCCACCGACAAGTAGAAAATAAATACTATCATTAATATAATTCTTTTTCTTTTACAAATTCTATAAGTTTACTATATTTGAATAAGGTTCCATAATATAAAAATATCTAAAAATAATAATATCTTAACTTTTATTTGTACAGTGTCGGAGCTGGGCGTCGAAGATTCCGGCCGAAATATCGTGGAAATAATCTTCAAATCGAGCTGGCTCAAGAAAGACATCCCCATCTGCAAGATCGAACGCATACTAAAGGTACAGAACACGCAGCGTACGATTCAACGGTTCGAGGACTGCCGTGATGCAGTGAAGAACCGTGCGCTGACAAGCACGCGGAAGAACCCTAGGTGCGCGGCAGACGGGAACGAGCTGTTGCGGTTCCACTGCACCAGCATCTCGTGCACGCTCGGTGGACGTGGCTCGTCGAGCCTGTGCGACTCCGTACCTGGCTGCGGAGTGTGCACGATCATCCGTCACGGCTTTCAAGGCAAAGCAGTGGCGGGAGGTGATCAAGGTGGTGGGAGCAAGGGAGTGCGGACCACTGCCAGCAGCGGTAGGGCTCACGACTCGTTTAATTGTACGGACGGGCGCAGGGCCATGCTGGTGTGCCGTGTCATTGCGGGCAGGGTCAGGCGCATTGCGGACGATGCGCCACCGGAGGAGGATGGCCTGTCCCAACTGTCGGCTGCTGCTGGCTCCTACGATTCTGTAGCCGGATTCGCTGGAATCTACTCCAATCTCGAGGAACTTGTTGTTTATAATCCGAAGGCCATCCTCTCATGCTTCGTAGTCATTTACAAGGCTATGGAGTCGTGATTAACGTTGTAGTTTAAGTCGTATAATGCGTTAGTTATCTTCATTACATTGTCAGTATATGTTATTGACACGGTATACTAAGTCAATCATACATCACGGTGAATTTAAACACATTCTGATATAATGGTGATTGATTTAGAATACCATCATAGTGTTATCTCGTTGAAAGGAAGTTCTTTTTCTTTTTAGAGCGTGCTGTATCGACTAATATCAAAGGTCAACTTTGCTAACTTCTACTACTTTATTTCTTTTTCGTTTTTTTTTTATGTGTTCGTGTATATACATGTTTTTCTGCATCATTTTCACATGGTGATGCTAGTGAGGCCTACCTCTTTTTTTGTTTTTGTTTTTGTTTTTGGTTTTGTTTAGATTATAGGTTTGTTTAATGGATTTAGCAGCTTTAGTTCAACTGCTCAACTCCAAGAATATTTGTTAAACTGTTTTATCATATGGGCAAGCTAATTTAAAATTAGTGTATCTAGAAACTATCTTGTTCTTGTCCTTTTTAATGTTTTTAATCTGCTGAAAACAATGAAAATTCATGTGATCGATGAATATTCAAAGCAATTGCAACATTCAAAACGTAGGTGTTATATATATATATATATATATATATATATATATATATGTTGATCTGTCAATCTTCAATGGATGCCTGGCTAGCTTATATCATCAGCGTCAAAATCACGCACCTAAACCAAGAACTAGTCTTTATTTCGTGCTGGGTCTCCTTATATGAGTCATCACGTTTAAATTCATGAGAGGTCTTACTCACACTTGAAAGGCAAAGCCCCATGACCAATATTTAGTAAACAAAAATGAGCAATAATTGTTTCCAGTTAAAGTGTCAATTAGTAATTAATTTTTTTTTCTTTTTTAGGGGGAAGGGTTGGGGGGTGGGTTTCAATTGTAATTAGATTATTGACAAACTTTGTAATTTTGTAGCTCGGGGGTTATTTAACTCTAAAAGCAAGATTCGTACCCCACTTAAGCCAGGAGTCCAAGACTAATGATAGGGGCCACACGTGAGATAATCTTTGAATTTACTGCATGGTAATTCTAGAGAGATTATTGATTTGAATCGTATTTTGTAAATTATATGATGTAGTTGTTGATGGTTGGATTCTTTATTTAAATTATGGATAATACTAGAGAGACTATCTATTTAAATCATATGACATAGTGTGGTGGTTTACAATGTGGTCTAAAAAATTAGTCTACCTAACATTTCTTTTAAACTATTACTGCACGTAGTTATGTCTTGATGGAGGAGTTCATGTTTGAGTTTGACCAATAAACAAAAACTCACCAAGTCACGAACTTAGTCATCACCAACTCCAAAGTAATTAACTGATGTAGAACAAGTTCACCGCTGTCATAGTGATAAATACATATGTATAATATTATTGTATTGAAACGTCACGATAGTAATAGAACAATGCATATATAGTTGGCAGATGATAATTGCATGCACATGCAACATGCGCGAGCAGATGCACACTAACTATTACTTCTCATTGGTTGGAGTGTTTGAATTGAACTGTCCAAAAGCCGATTAATTTATGGCTTCAACGTAGTGATCGCTCATTGCAAGATTAAAACAAAGATAAAATAGTTATGGCGGATAGTATATATAATTAGAAACAAGTAGGGTTTCCCAAAAATCATGTTTAATGCAATCCTCGTTGAGATTACTGACAAATCTTGCACGTACAATCATGTTAATGACAGATCAGTGGCGGTCCATAGTCCATACTGAAACTGTAATTTCAAATTAAGGCTCGTGCCAAACTTCCTCCTACAGCTTGATTGACAGTCCAACTAATCGTACTTATACTAGTTAGTGTTAGCTACTAACAAATTAATTAGTAGATTAGCATGCATTGACAGGTTGATAGTTATTGGAAGTGAGATCAGCCGGGACCAGCAGATGTTTGATTAGTATTAGTAACCAGCCGAATATTCATCAACTCAAATGCATCCTTTCGGTTCTTTTCGCATTATGGGGGTTTCTGTTTACTTGGGGACGCCCCTTCCGAACTACATCGGGTTTTCGGCGAGAGACTATTTTTGTTACGCTCTTTCGAATCATTTAGGCGCTTTGCCCTATGCTTGAGAAATTAGTTTAGTTCTAGCTGTGGTATTAATTTATAGCATTACTCATTTTTAGATTATGGCTTCATCACCTTTTAAGGGTCGGCCAACATGCCTTGATTTCGGTGTTTCAATTGAATATTTGGGTCGTGATATGTCTAGCACAATAGCACTATAGCCAAGTCAATACCCACCTCATAAAATGTTAGAAACCCCCACTCCCAGAAGAAATTTTTCATTGTGACTGGAACACGGGTAGTACACCACGTGTTTTTATATAAGTGGTGTGAAGTTTTATTCTTTAATAAATATATCCCACCAGTTGTATAATAACACGTGATATACCATTACGTGTTCCGGCCGCACTGAAAAGTCTCTCCACCCCCACATCTTAACTAATGACAAAAAAATGAGAATATTATAATATGTTGTCTTGGCTTTAGGTTTGTAATCTTTTGACATTGTTAAATAAACACAAGTTTTCTCTCTTTCTTCATATTGAATTCTAAAGTTTGCTAGTTGTTTTCCAACGAAGAATTATTGTTTGATTTTCCTTGTCAATTGTCATGTCCTTCTGCATTGGACACCCTAGGTGTATTTTTCGAAATTTCCTCATGCCCCGCTATCAGGCTCAAAATACGCTTCATCCGGAGCCCATAAACAAAACACATTATGGTTTTCAGTTGATTAGCGGACACCTACAGCCCAAACAAACATATTTTGTCATTAAAAGTAGCAACAAAAATAAATTTCAGAAATTGTATCAAATCCATCAGAGGTACCTCTCACCTCACCTAGTCTGGTTTGTATTAACAATTAACAACACAATTATGAAAAGGTATTTGGAACTAATTTTTTTTGTTTAAAAAGGGATGACTTCACTTAGTCCGGTTATCAAGTTCATTGGACGGGTGCTTGCTTAGCTCATGATTAGTACATTTTCTTTACTTTAAGGAAGAAAGTACCAATTAAACACAATTATGATGTTGTCCAAATATCATTAGAACAAACCCTGGCCCTCCACATCATCTGAATTATCCCTCTTCACAAGCTCATCATCTATCCAAATAATATACCCATTTTTTTGTTGGCATATTTATTGATTTCCTCCCCAACTTGTATAGAATTGTCAATTTTTTTTTGAATTTTAACTTTAGCCAATTACCTCGAATTTTTATAATTAGTCAATTTCTCTCCGAAACTTTAATTTTAGCTGATTACTTTTTTGAACTTTTATAAATAACCAATTTTCCTCTCGGTGTTAGATTTTAAAATTTTTCATCCAATATTCCATCCATCTCGTTCTCGCGGACAACACATGCATGACAACTATATAAGGGCAAAAATGATAAAAATTAGATGAATGAAGCATTGGATGAAAATTTTATAATCTAACGTAAGGGGAGAAGTTGACTATTTATAAAAGTTCGTGGGGATAATTAGTTAAAATTAAAGTTCAAGGAGGAAATTGACTAATTTTTAAAATTTATGAGATAATTAGCTAAAAAGAGAAATTGACTGCTCTATAAAAGTTCGGAAGACAAATCAACGAATACTTCTTATTTTGTTTTACCATAAACAATTATTAATTATCTTCGTTTCTTTTGCCTTTGCAGGACCATTTGTGATGCTAGAAACTGATAGGGTCTGGACCACCTGGATATGAACTTGAGCTAGAAACTGATTCACATCTTTTGATTTTATTGTGTTGAATTGACTAATAGAAAGGCAATGATTAGGGTTAGCTTTCCTCAGGCAAGCAGGTACCTAGCTAACATAAAGCTAAAAAATGAATGGTAAATTTTTGGCATGTCTCTTTTACTTACTAATGAACATGAGTCAAATAATCATTTACCTGTTTCTCATTAATTTGAGGATTACTTAGGCTATGGATAAGTGCAATCAAAAGCATCTACTTAGTAGTGTTTTTAGGTCATAAAAACGTTTTATGAAGAAGCACTAACGAATTCCAAACGTATGCGCGCCTTCTAAAACTCTGTGTGTGTTAAATCAGTTAATCACTTTGAAAAGAATCATGAGCAAGTAAGAAGTGGAAAATTAGGTTGAACTCTAGCGTTTTAATTAAGTTGAAGGCTAATCATATATAATTAAGGAGGGCTTTTGTTGTGATTAATTAACAAAAGCTATCTCATCTCATGAGGACAAGTGATGCCCCTGCAAATGATTTTAGCACATGGAGAACGCCATTGCCTACTCCGAATGTGCATGCTCATCATCATCCTTGAGGCTTGAGAGAGTTTAATTTCCCAAATATATAGAATAACATCAACACCATGGAACTTCTAGAAGATTTTCAGTGTGCCAGAAACATAGTTTGATACATTAAGTGTCATAATACAATTAATTGAAATGTTTTTTTTTTCAAGTTTCGAACCAATTGTATTGTGACACTTGGTTTACCAAACTGTATTTCCGACACACTGAAAACTCTCTCCGGAACTTCACACCCTCATCTCTCTCCCCCATTTTATATTTATAAGACAGACACCCTCCCATGATAGCATTCCATTTCCCGGAGGACAAAATCACAGAGAATACAATGCTGCATAATATTCCAAGAAACCACAGCTTTATTATACAAGTAGGTCAAGAAACCCTCCTCCATCGCCAAAGCTCAGACCCTCATCGTCAACCTCCCAAGCTGAACTTGTCTGCGATGAAAATCTTCAACCGCTTCAGGAAGATAATAATGAGGCTCGTGTTTTCTGTCCCGTCTCGATCGGCCAGAGACACGTCCTCGTCGGGAGCTACGAGCACTACCAGGCCAAGGAACAGTAGCTGTGACAGATTTGAGCCTCCGAAGACTTCATGCAGTTCGTACTACTCGTCGCATTCGCATTACAACGAGGCCATCGCTGACTGCATCGAGTTCTTTAACAAGTCATCTTCTAGCCAAGAGGGCAGTTTGGATGATGGAGAATTCAACGTTATGGTTTGATATATCATTCCCAAGCATCAATCTCAATATCACATATCACATATGGTTTGGTTACTACTTGTGTTTAATATTTGCCTCATTTTATCTTATAATTAATTTGCAATCTTTGTTTTTATCCCAAGCGCATCAAAATAACATGTACTGTGACTTCGGTGTAACGATAAACGCTCCTATCTAGTTGCACGTTAAATATTTGATTTGCTTGCTATTCATGTCTCTTACAATGTGGGATTTAAACCTACAACGTACTGTTTCAGTTTGCTTGCGCTATATATCCTCCAACATATTCATGAAAATTAAAACAACCTTTACTAAACATATCCATATTTTTCTGAATGCATGCATTAGTTTTGTTTAAATTATTTCTCATTGTATTTATTTTCACTGGAGCTGGGTTGAATTTTGAAAAGAAAAAAAAAAAATCCTAAAAAGCGAAATGAATGTTGTTTCTAGTCGATTTGAGAGGAGAAAATTTTCATTAGAACACCATGACCACGTTATTCAAAAAGAATCTCTTATAAAAGCATGAGATTTTTTGTGCTTTGGTCTCATCTTACTCTATAATGATTCTATCCAGTTTGAAAGCTACTCTAATTAGATCTCTCCATGATGATTCTATCCAGTTTAAGAGCTACTCTAATTAGACAATCTTATCAAAATTTTTGTCGTGCTCCGTATTTGTCGTCGGATGTCGAGGACTCAAAGCACATATTGTTGCGGGCTGTCCATCTATAACTAGGCTGGTCCTGGTCCGGCGGCTCCAGCCCAATGTTTATATGGCCCGTTGTATTAAAGTCCATTTCATTAAGGCCCATTCAATTGACCAAAGGATACACTACTCAAATAATAAAAAATAAAAAATAAAAAATAAAAAAGGTCCCTAGTTTAAGAATGAAAATGAAAAGGAACATAACAGCAAGCTTAAAGGGTCTAAATTATTAGGTACTCTATTGAAGGATGCTGATTTATTAGGTATTTTCGTTAAGAAATTATTATGCAGTACTAGAACACAGTCACGTGGTATAATCAATCGACATACAATGTTACAGTTTTATCTTATCCCGAGCCAAATATGCAATGGATTAAAAGAACTGAAACATAGAAAATAGACTTGTACAAAAAAAGGGTGAAAAGAGTTGGGATGCAATCTTCTTGGAACCAAGAAGTGTGTGTGTGCCTGTATGTTGCATCAAGCATAAGCAACTGGGGAGCTTCCTTTCTTCTTAGAAAAGATCCCTGCAATCAGAGGAATCAAGGGCTTCTTCTTTTTCTTGAGAGAAGGGTGTCTTTGCAGTGTTTCCTCAACACCTCCTGGCGCAATCATCACTTTCGCAAGGGAAGGTGGATTTGCAAATGTCACATACCTTTTCTTTTGGAACTCAAAACTTTCATCTTCCTCACTAGATGCTTGTGGTTTGGTTTCAAACTTGGTCGAGTCTTCGTCGAATATCCTGACGTCTTCAATCTCGGTTTCTATGAAGTGTTTTTCGTACTCTCGTTCCTTCAGTTGCTGGAGCTCTTGCTTTGTACGATCGAGCTCCTGTTTTAGAGAAGAGAGGCAGTTTTCCATGAGCTCACTTTCTTCTCTGGCTTTCTGGAGGCTTTGTTTTGTGTCCTCTAGTTCTGCTGTCACAGTTCCAATTCTGGATAATGCGGGGTGATGCCCATTTCCATTTGCTTCATTCTGCATCTATATACGGATCATGTTACAAAAAAACCAATTAGCATCGAAATCAAATGCATCCCTTAATTAAAAATTTAATTTTATCAGTCAAATATATGTAAGTAAAACAGTTTGGGGAGAAATTTTCAGAACAATAATTTTCATGTCACGTCACTTGTACTTTAATAGTCACACACAACATGATCTCCCTGCATTTAGATCCATTCAAAATGGTCCTTGTGAAACCAAATTTGTAAATATCCTCTTTATATGAGTCTTGTGCGTACGAATGACGTGACACGAAAGTCTCAACTCTAGAATCTCTCCAATTAAGAGTCATACTGATATTTGATACTGCAACAAATAGTAAAGGAACCGTGGATGCTTGCTTTGCTTGCTTGTGAGCCCTCCTAAATTCTAAATAAACATTAGTTAATTTTATTTAAAAAGAAAAAGAAGGTATAGTGCAAGTGCATAGCATATAACTTGGCATCTCTTCACATGAAAGCCAAGAAGATTAGATTCCCTAAAAAGCTGATTAATAAGGAATTAGGCCTCGTGATGATTGCTCATAGTCTCCTAAATATATCAAACTATACATATTTAGCTTTATATATTCCACCAAACATGATAATTAAGGACAAGTTGTACTCAGCCACGAGCAAAGCATATATGATTGACTAGCTTCTAGCAAGACCAACAAAGAAATTACATTTTGTAGAGGTTGAAATCTATGATGCATGGATACATACAAATATTGATTACAATACAATACGATAGAACATATGAATACTAGAAATACAATTTTTTATTAAAACTGCGTGCAAATTACGAAAAATCTCCGAAAAAAAACTTACATGCATGATAGCTAAGCTAGTTAACATAAGTAGTAACCCTTAACGTAGCTGATAAGCCTAATGCAATTATCAATGTGGTTAAATAAATTAAGGGGAACATATGTTACATAAGGGGTGGAGGATATGAAATTGAAATGTGATGAAGGTTGATGATGAATGATGCACCTGTTTAAGCTGGGAGGCATAGAGCTCTCCGGCAAGAACTTTTTCTCCAAACAACGCAACGGCCTCTTTGACAGAGCGGAAGGGTCGCCTCGTATCAATCTCCGCCCTCCTCGTCCTCGTCGTTTGCATTCCTCCTCCTCCTCCTCCTCCTACTTCTTTCTCCATGTTCACTTTGTAAAATGTTGCACTCCTAGGGTTGAAAGAATGAAAGGAAAGAATGTGTGTTTTATTTGGACTAGTACTACTTGAGAGAGAGAGAGAGAGAGAGAGAGAGAGAGGGAGAGACAGATGGGGTGGCTGGTTAGATTGACGGCTTACAAGTGAGGGGGAGAGAGAGGGACACACAGGGGGGTTATAGGAGGGAGTGGGGAGGTTGAATTCGTTTCTTCGCGTCCACTTCACTAGATATCTGTTAATATATGTGAATGCGAAAGGCGGTGGGTGGGTGGCTCCGTGGACTTCGGTAATAGACAGGGACTCTTCGCCAAATGCCCCAACACACACACACCAACAGAACAAAATCCACCAATTCCAACCCAACTATACCAGTGTTGGGCTTGCCTACAAACTACCAACATGGACTACAATCCACAAGTAGTAGTAGCGCTTACATATTTCGGCGCTTTATTGCGACATTCCGGACTAATAACTCTATCATATAGAAATATAAAAAACATGACATCGTATTAATCGTTTAGCGAATAATGTGTGGAATCCCTTCTCCCTTGTAGCACCCGACGAATCTCCCTTTTAGCACCCAATGAACAGATCAGAGGGCACACATGAACGGTAATTTGTCAAATTTGATCGGCGACCACAACTCAAGGTTGATGAAAATTTGAGAATTTCAAAAGGAGAATAATTAAGCCAATAATAAAAGGTTTAGGATGAGAATCATCAATCACTCTCAACTAATCATTATCAATAACTATATTAACAAGATCTTAAGTTCGGCCAGATTCCTCTTCATTTACCTTGTGTTTTACAAAAAATAATATTTGATGGGACGGGAGAACATATAAAAAGGAAATGCTGGCGGTCCAAGTCACGGTAAGCATATTAGGACAGGATATATACTAAAAAACTGTGAAAAAACATGTTGCAAGCAATTCGATTTCGACCTAACAGCACCAAGCACAGATCGTTGTTGCGTCTCACATCCACAAGTCCACATTGATTTATCCGTCCAGTCCCTATTGTTCTCCAAACACTCATCTTAATCACAAATTTTGACGATATTCTAAATTTTTCTAATTAATAGACGGAGAGTTAAATTTAAATAAGTCACGCTATCTGATTAAGTAACTTAAATTGAGCTTTTAAGTAGTGGATTGTGTGGGTAAATAAGCTACGTGAATTCAAATTTTCCTCCTCTTATAATGTAGCTTAGAGTAGAATTATTGCAGTGACGACTTAACTATTGATTGCTGTTAAGTTGTTAAGCTAGCCGAAAACTATTGGGAACATTTTGCCAGTTGCCAACTTTCAAATACCTAGAAAAGATTACAAGATAAATTCCTTTCACAATCTAAACTTAGACAATCAAATTTCAGTAATAACATGTGTAACGAAATTTGCCTTTCTAGATATCCAAAAAACCTAGTGAAATCGCTAGCAAGCATTTTGATAACCGAGAAACTCTAGTGAAATCACTAGCAAGAATTTTGATTTCTCAAGTAATTGTTTTGAGCCTCCGGAATATAGAATATTTACTGAGTGTGGTATGAGCAATTGGTTTAGAATCTTCATTTTGTCATTTATTTTATGAGTTGTTAATCAATTATTGTGCGATTCTAAGATGACCGACAACAAAGTACAAGAGTTTTATATGAGTGAATTAAGGGTAAATTAAATAAAATTACTTCGTTAGTCACAGTTTCATACCCATCTTTAAAAAAAATCAATATCATACCTCATCTTATAAATTTATTACAATTTTATACCTTCCGTAAAACTGTCAATTCCTTCTTTGAATGTTTACGTTGACCAAGACCGTCAACGGAGACACGTCTCCCCTACCCAAGTTACTTAGCTACGCTGGCTCCCTCTCCCTCTTCCTCTCTCTCTTACCGGCCCCGCTACTCATTGGAACCCCGAAACGACATCGCACAAAGAAACCAAAAAGAAAAGAAAAAAGTTGGTAGCTTTCGTCCCCGAGTTTGGGGTTCCTCTGTTGTTAATTTCTCTTCAATTTTGCTTCGACAATGGTACTCCTCTCTAAACATTTCCAGTATTATTTGATTCGATTTCGAAATCTGACCCGATCCGATTCGTATGGCAGATCCGATTCATACTGTTACAGAACCGCCAGGGAAAGACCCGGTTAGCCAAGTACTACGTTCCTCTCGAGGATTCCGAGAAGCACAAGGTCGAATACGAGGTATGATCCACACCTAATTCCCCTTTATTTCAATTGATATTAAATTTTTAATTGCAATTTGTGCTTCAAGTTTCGAAATTTCTAGGGTTTTTGAATTCGATGGTATTTGCAGGTTCATCGTTTGGTGGTCAACAGAGATCCCAAGTTCACAAATTTCGTCGAGGTTTGTAATTTAATTTGTTTTTTTTATGTTGGGATTTTTTTAAAATAGTTTGGTTAAAGCAAAGATTTAATTTTCTAAATTAATTTGCAGTTCCGTACACACAAGGTTATATACAGGAGATATGCAGGGTTGTTTTTCTCACTGTGTGTTGATATAACTGACAATGAACTGGCATACTTGGAATGCATTCATCTGTTCGTTGAAATTTTGGATCATTTTTTCAGCAATGTTTGCGAGCTCGATTTGGTCTTTAACTTTCACAAGGTCCGTTGCTTGTTCTCGCCTTCGTTTTGATGTGATTATCTGCTTTCGTATTTAGTTCCCGAGTTAGTAGTAGTCACCCCGTGCTGGTTTATTCACGAAACTTAACTTGGATAGTGGTGGAAGTAGATATATATGAAATAATGAATCGGCCATACTACTGGAAGCCGTTGATTTTTGCGAATTCAAGCCCGTTGTTTTCTCCTCCAACATTATACCATACCTTGCGGTTTTCTTACTGTCAGTTGATGTTAGGCAGTAACCAAGTCAGGCTGCATGGTAGATGCCAATACCTAAAGTTGTAAATACCTTGGCGTTGCAGAGTTTCTTCCCCGCTCGTGAGTATATATGGGTGTGGTTGTTTGTTACCTTACTGATTAATGTTTTCTGTTTTCATTTATGGAAGGTCTATCTGATACTTGATGAGTTCATTCTTGCTGGAGAGCTCCAAGAAACAAGCAAGAAGGTAAGACCATGAGAATGTCTATGAATTTATCTTCTTGTGAAGTTTTGTCATCAATGTAGCTTTTCTTCTGTTTCTCCTGCATTTTGCGTTTGTATGCTGTTAGAATGGGGACAGGCAACAGAAACCTTGGTTTAGAATGGGGACAGGCAACAGAAACCTTGGTTTTTTGTTATCCATTTTGGTCCGGGGACCCTTTGATCTGATTTATCGTTAATCATGTATCAGGATTTTGTGAAAGTATGTGCCTTTGATTGCCCCTCACGGGTCTTCTCGTTCCTTCCCCACTAGCTCTTGCCTTGTTTTGTATAGTACACCAAGAAACCAAAATCCTCACTCCAACCTGGCTAGATCGCTCTATTTATTTCCCAATAACTACCTTGCTTTGTGCCTCGTCATGTTTATACTGATGTTATGTAATCATTGGCAATGCAAACATACAACATCGAAGATATCTGGTTTCATGAATTTTTTGTTGTGCTTGCAGGCGATAATAGAGAGAATGGGGGAACTCGAAAAACTAGAGTGAAGATTTTCCTTGGGTGACAAGTTTTTAGGATTGAAGTATTGGTTCTTTGTTTCTGCGGATTGTTTCAGTCAATTCTTGTATCGCCATTCGTTGTGTGAATTCCTTTCGTGTAGTAAACGTCAATTAAACTTGAAGGTTTCTCTTTTTCGTATCTTCTTTGTACCCGGTTTTTCCCCCATTTTGTCATTTGTGTTTGAAATATATATTCGTATAATTGAAGGCATATATACGATCAACCGTGTATTTTTCAGTTTTTCTGTTTCCAGATAGGCACTTTTGTAGTTTACATGGAACAATGGGTATGTGCAAGTTAGCAGACAAATCAGTTTTCTTTGACATTGCTTGGAACAGGGGTCGTGTTATGTTGGCTTCGGTTGCTAAGGCCAGAGCTCCTATCCTGCTGCGCGGACCAACGGTATTGCCAAATGCATTTCGCGGGGACCTTTCGATCACTTTTCAGTTCTACAGGTGTTTAACTTGATTGTAACAAGCAATGTATAACCCCATGGAAAACTGGCCGTTATCGGGTGAAATCCATTGATTAACCTGCATATTCTTATGTTGTGTGGTCGACAATGCGTTACTGATTTGAGATATCGTTGCTGTGGAAGGTAGGTCTCTCTTTTTGAGGAATCAAAACGAAATATGCTTTCGATAGCCTTGAAATCAGATCACGTCCTTCGAGTGCAAGACAACGTTGTACAAACGAAGTGCAATACGAAAGAGACCAAACATCAACCAAAATTACCAAAATCTTTAGACCTAAGCTAAATTTTAGGAAGTTTTAATGAAATACACTTGGTGCTGTTTACTTTTAACGTTAAGGATATTTTTACTCTAAAAAATCACGTTTGGTATTATTTACTTACAACACTTTGTCATTTTGGTTAAAATTTAAAGTTTTCAGACTATTTTCATTAGTTTTCCTTAAATTTTATTCCCCAAGTCATCCAAATTATTAGTTCTGTTTCGATTTAGAAAAGCCGAAGCCATTTTCCGAAACACAAGCCACATTTGATCCCCAATGCAATGTACTTTGTAGAGCACAAACATTTCGAATTTTTCTATTATCTTCTTTGTAAAAGATGAACAATGTGCCTCAAATATGTTCGTGAAATGACTACTACAAAACCTTTGCGGCCTAATAGTCTAAGGGCAATTTTTCTACGAACCGAATGCCTCAGCTTATCAAGCCATGGCCGAAATGCCGGGTGATCATTTATACATGTTCATATCTTATTGAGTCGCGATAAAGTTAAGCAGCAAGTCCCCACTTCTGAACAGAAGAAAGAATGAAATAATTTACGAACCAGCTACTTCCCAACAGAACTTACTAGAGGCGCTCGCTGCAGAGCAACTGCAGTGGCATCGCACTTCCAGCACGAAATCCACCTCCAGATTCCTCGTACACAGAAGGTAGGTGGTGTTCCTGTCGTTTCACCCTGCCGGGAGGAAAAGATGAAGTGACAGCCATTAGCTGTTGTTGAGACAGTGGTGCGTACTTGGGACCAACAAGTTCAAGTGTTGAAGGGGATGGAGACATTAGACCTTGGCTGCATGGCATCAGCATCATATCCTGCCTTCCATTTTGCCAACCGGGAACATGAACTGCGGGCGCTGAAGTTCCCACCGGCCTGTACTGAGCCGCTAAGTGATTGGCCCAAAGCCTCTGCTGATGCTGTTGGAGCTGAAGATGTTGCTGTTGAGGTTGCTGCTTTGTCGAGGCTGTGGGGCTTGCTTGAGGACCACAAAATGGGTTGCCATGATATGGAGATAGCTGCATCTGGCCCTACAATTAAGTATTATTTTGTAATTTTAGTACTTTGCATTCAATGTTTATTTTCAACACTATTACTATAGGCCTAAAATAGTAAGAGGTATGCTTAATTTGTCAAAGATGAATAGGATAACTCTCAGTTGTCCCTCTCAACCTCCCGTTGCGTATAAGATTAAATCCTGGTTCTATTAAAGTGAATCTAAGCTTTACAGAAGAACTGGAATAAAAAGAAAACAATTAAAGGAGAACAGAAAAACCTGCTGGGACACTGAAGGATTGTTAGGGTGAGCGGAAGAGCTGTACTGAGACGGGGGCAAAGAGAAAGGAACGAGTGTGTGACGTTGCATGAGGGGATGGATATAAGTAGCTTGGGATTGTGACGATGGCTCCATCCCGTTTCTAGATCTGCTAAAACTATTATTACTTTCTGAGCCACAACCTCCAGCTGACAATGACAGGAAATCAATACTCTGCAAGAAATGAAACCAGTGAGAACATCATCAAAACCCTGCGATGAATAAATAGCAATTACAACACTAAGCCTTACCTGCTTTGGTGAAGTGTATGCCCAAGATCCCATGGCGAACTGTGGCTGATCTTGATGGAGTTTCATCTGCTGCAGTGTACCGTTCTTAGCTTCGGTTGAATTTTTTTCTGAAATAGAAGTACCTATACTACTAGTAGAAAGAATCCCGTTTAAACCATTGTTCGATTTAGCATTGATATTAACTCCCAGAAAAGCCACTTGTTTTGATCCTTCATGTGGTCTCATTTGATTAGGCTGTAGCTGTATCTTATTTTTACGCTCGGAGTTTTGTAAAGCCTGAATTAAGTGACTTATGTAAACATGAGCTGCGCACTTCTTACACGACCTTCTACCATTGAGAACAGTAGTCACCTGTATAGTTGATAGTCCACCATACCCTCAATCAGAAGCTTCACATGGTATTGAAATTTGAGAAGAAAAGAGTGGCGCATATTCAAATTTTAAAATAGCTGATAATCATACAATGGAATCATTAGAAAATTGAAATTCCTCTCTTCACCTTTCCAAAAGACGAACCATTTTGGACCGAAGCTCTTGAGGTAGACAAGGCAGCATCAAGCCAGTGCGGAATTTTAGCAGCAGGAGACCTTGAATGGATAAAAAGCATGAGAAACGGGAAAAATACAGAGAAATAAAACTTATCTAGAAAATTTATTCAGGATTGAGGACAATTACTGTGACAATGATGATGGACTATCATTCCTAGCACCATGAGAGACACTTGAAGACAAGCCAGGCCACAATACTGGACCTTTGAATCAAAGAACCAAATATGATGTCATCTTGAAGAAATTGATACGCAATGCAATACTAAAACACGGCTTTTCACAAGTGAAAGTGAAATTACAACCAATAGTGAAGACTTTGCTGCAAACAAGAACTATACCATTTTTCTTTGTTTCCTGGTCCATATCGTGCAGTACAATTTGAGCCCCAACAGTTGTGCTCTGAAGAGTAACCCAAATCTTAAAATCAAACTGATCTCACCAAACGATATTTGACTTAGACTTGATGAGTTAATTCTTACCAGCTCCAGTGCTATTACTGGTTTTCTCTCAGGAATTGAGGACAACTCTTGCACAGGCTGCTTTAACCTGCTGGGAGATTAGAAATATGATAATGCTTAAAAACGAAACAGATAGGCGGACACACAAACACACAATGAAATATAATGCAGGGATGGAAGCCAGAATTAAGTTGAAGAGTACCCACCAACTATCCAGGTTTAGATCAGATATGCAAAAGTTGACAGCACTGCTTGTAGCATGCTTTTCATTGCACCCCTCAACTTTCACTGACAATGACGAAACATTCAGACTTTGAGGAACTGAATTATCTGAATTTATACTTGATTTCCTGCTGTTAGGTGACTCAGGCTCTTGTTGAGTACTGGGTTTGTTCAAACAATCAACTTGATCATTTTCTTTTACTAATCTTTCTACATTTGATGGACTGGCAGCCTTGGTAGCTCTCAAGGGGGAGTTTGAACCCGATTTATCATTTCCAACTGCAGAAACCAATTCCACCACATAAATTAACAATCTGGCACAATGGCATATATTTAAGAAAAAGAAGATTTCTCAGAAGTGAATTACGAATCAACCTTCAAATGCAGATGTCAAACTCTCCTTTGACTCTGGCAAAGCTGAAGCATTTGCATCTAACGATTCAGAGTCTACTTTACTATCATCATTTGAATCGTTTCTGGGAAACAGTCCTGCCAAAGCATACAACGTCTCCACAACTTCTTCCTCATCTTTGGTGATTTCTGAGCCTCCTTGTTTCTTCACAAGTAAGTTCGAGTATATGCATTAGAGTTGCGAACAGAAAAGGCAAACATAACGAAAATATCGAAATAGCAGACAGAGATGACTACCAAGTACGGTTTGGACTTATTTACACCATCCCTTTTCAGAGATTCGCTTCCACGCATTGTATGGCTCACCTTCTTTGCATTTGGTAAAGACCGGGCGGGAGATGCAGATTCACGATTGCGCTTCTTCATTGCTGCAAGTGCATAAACAATTTCAAAAAGGCACAAGACATTCATACTTCATACAACAGAATAACACAGGAACTGTTTCATTTTTTTTTTTTTTAATTCCCCATAATCCGAAAGGGACCCGAATCATTGAAAGCCATTAAAGTATCTCTTTTGGAAAAGTAAAACTACAGAAAAAAAGGAGGGCAAAATATCAGACCCAAATATAATAAATAATTAATAAAAGTGGAAAGCTTACTTCTCGAAAAAGAAAGAAAAAGCGGAAAGCTTCGGTTTTGCTTGACTTCTAATCCAGAATTACATCTTAAACCAAAGTAAAACAAACTCGAAAAACTCCCCAGAAGACCCACCAAAGAAATCAAATCCCAAATAATTAAACCAAAAAATAATTAACTCAAAAATGGAAAATTTAGCGTTGAAATTAAAAACAAAGATAAAAGAGCAAAATTTTCCACTGTTAATTCAAACCCACATACCTGATCGGAGCTTCCGTGGAACCGAGGCAAGATCAACGCCATTGCAATCATCAAAGAACTGGGGAAGAAAAAAGAAAAATTAAAAACAGAGGAATAATAACACGAATCAAAGATTTTGGGTAATCGATAGATGTAAGCAAACCTTTCTGGGAAGCTTAAATCTCTTAGTGGGGAGCTCATCGTCTCTGTCAGGCACGTCGCAACCCATTTCGCAGTCTCCAAAGCTCGTTGTTTTTGCAGTACCAAGAGCACTCAATTTTCTGAGCCTCTCTTTCTTCGTTGATTTTCCAGAGAGCACAAAGTCCCCACCACCATCCAAACCTTCAAAATTTCAGAAGAACAAAATAAATGAACAGCAACTACTCAGAGAAAATAGTGGTGATAATTATAAGGGAAGAAGGCACGCATTATCTGCAAGGCTCTTATCAGAAAGCTACACAGATAAAGACAAGTACCCATCAAGCGGCTTTTGGAATTTTCTCGGCCGTTTTTTGGAATGTTCCCAGCTGAGAAAATTCCAAAAATTCGAAAACGGTGAAATATTTATTGGGATTTTAGCATTTTACTGGGAAAGAGCTTGGTGGTGGTGTTGCTGGGTCCAGAAGATTGCTTGAAGCGAGTGGCTCCTCCTCCACGTCTCACGTCTCGATGCTTGGTGGCAGGTGGTACTAACATCTGGAATTTGAAGGATTCTGGACCGTCTGATTGAGCTCGAGGAACAGATCCTTCGCCTCTCTGCAAATTTTGAGCTCAGCTCTCTAAAATCTTCAAACTTGGATCGCAGAACGATGAAATGGAAGAAACCCAGGTGAGGAAAACGAAAAGACAGCAGAACCCAGATGCTGGAATGGGGGTAATGAGGTGGAGGCAAGGGTGCTGAAGAAGAAAGTGGGCGAGAACAACGTGTGGAAAGAGAAAGAGAGAGCGAGAGGAGAGAGAAAGCTTCGTGTTTAGTTTTTTATCATTTGTTTCTTTTTGTGGGTATCGATGGCTATTTAGCGAAACGAAAAGGTCGCCGGAAAGAGAACCGAAAAAGTGGGGTTTGGTTTTTATTTTATTTATTATATTTGTTTAGCAAAAAAATGAGAAAATCGACGATTTATCAGTTGCTTCGATCGATTGCCAGATATCTCTCCGTTTTTTCTGCGGGAGTGAAGAGAGCTCAGAAAATAAGCAGAAGCAGAAGCAGTAGCAGAAACAGAGGAGATTCAGAGAGGAGGAGGAGAAGAAGAAGACAAAGGTAAAAGCGATTAAAGGCAAAGCGATTTGTAAAAAAGCCACTGAAATGTAAAGCACTGCGCTCCCCACCTCGTGCCCAGAGAATCAGGTTCTTCCTAGAGAGAGAGACGTAAAGGGTAAAAGAGAAAAGGAAGAAAAAGGGTGTCTGCGACTGAGAGACCCGTGAAAACAATGTCAAATGGAGAGAGAGGAGAGTTAGATCGCATTAATTGATTGAAAACAATGTCTCGATTCGATTAGAAACCCAATTTTCTTCCACCCAAACCCACCAAATTAAATCCAACAATTTCTCTCTTTATTTATGATCCGAACCCATTCATTGAATTCATCAGCTTCACCCAAAAGCATTTATGGGAAACGTTGAAACTGAAGGCAATCGAAGAAGCCAGAAAGACCGGAGCTTGAATTTTGGACCAGAGAGAGAACAGAGAGAAGGAAAGCAGAAAGCCAAACGCAGAAGCCAGAAAGCACGACCTTGGTTCCCAAAAGACGGAAACACCGAGGCTTTTTTCCATGCTTTCCCTCCCTCCTCACGTCATTCCACCATCGACGGCTAACACACGCTGTCCATCAATCTGCGGTCCCCTCGCAGCCGTTAGATCACACACCATCTTTTGATGGATCGGGGCAACTTTATATCCCGCGTGGCATCCTACATCAGATAAACCTCCCACCCCACCCCTGCCCTACCAGTTCACCTCCGCCGCGCTCGGCCGTCCGATCGCCTTCTCCCTCTCCTGTGAAACCCAAATTTCTTAAATCCGACGGTTGTTACGTTTCCTCGTGGAGGCATCAGAAAATTCTCCGTACGAAACGGTTGTGCTTCTCTCTCTGTACCTCCCTCTTCCCACATCCACAAATTATATTTTAAGATGTGATATCCACACTTTCATTTTACTTCTCACACACCTTTTTAATTTTCAACCGTCGAATAGGATGAATTGAAGAATATCAACGGAAAAAAATTATCAAGAGTGTGTGAGAAGTAAAATGGGGTGTATGGGTAGCACATTCCTATATTTTCTCACCCACACCCCATGTACATGTACGTATTATACACCGTAGCTCTACAAATACGTACATACAATGTGCGTATACAACGCGACTCAATTAGGAGGACAGGAAGAGTGGAATAGTAGATTGCAGAGTGCAGGGCGACTAGTGTTCACAGCCCAGGATGCGCGTGGGAAAATGCAGGTGTGATTGTACAAAACGGGTGTATCAATCTGTGAGTGTCTGACTGAGTGACACTAAAATCTGCGGATGTGAAAGCAGCTGCAGGGGATTGATACCGAATTCCTTCCCCCTGATCTTCTCGTCAAGCAATTCGGGTTTTTGAAATTTAATTCAATGGTTAAAAACACAGATTTACTTTAAAAGATATAATAATTTTAACCATTGGATTAAATTTCAGATTGTTTGATGAAGAGAATTAGGTGGAGGAGATCATCTATATATGTGTGTGAATGTATATATGTCCAATTCTAGAGAAAGACAGTAGTTGTTTCGGGAGCCACGAGGAAAGGAAGGAGGAGGAGTTGGCAACTCGGCGATTTTTATTTGTTGGAATGGGGGACTGAGTCATGTTTGTTGTGTGACTCGTTGTCCTTCAGGGCGAATGACTAAATGGAATTGGATTTCATTCGAATCGAATTCTTATATTTTAATCATTTATCGTGTGGTTATAAATTATTTGATTAAAATTAAACATAAATAATATTTAAAAAAACATGATCGCACGATGTATGATGAACGACTAAGATGTAAAGATTCTAGGATTTGGAGAAGATCGTCTTCCTGACTTAATAACCCCACGTCAAAAATGAGAGAAATTTTTTATTATGACGGAAATACGAATGATACATCACGTATTTTTAGATAAATAATGATATATTTTATTTTTTAAATTATTAATTTTTTAACATACATATTTAATATTTATCTGGAGAGCATCCTCTTCCTAACTAAATAACCCCGCGCCAAAAGTGGAACGGTGTCACGGTGATCATACGAGACATTTGCATGTTTGTTGGGAATTGGGATCTGATAATGTGCACCCCAAAGTTGGAGAAAAATGTGAACTGGCGCTAGCCCATTGGGCCTCCAAATCCCTACATATATCTGACCCAACAGGTTCCAACTAATTAGGCTTATGGACCTAACAATATTCATCATGCGCTAGAATTTTATGATTTAATTGTCAGTAATTCAAATGCAAATCAGTAATAAAATCAAAATCGTATTTTTTTTTCTTATTTATGTAGTCCAGTTAACGAATAAAGAGAAACTTGATACATTAACCTCTAAGGGCATTTGTGTTTGCCTTCACGAGTGGTCATGTCTCTGTAACAAGGGCATACGTCATAGTTGTTGAAAGTGCCAGGCGGAACGCAGTTGCATCTACTGCAACACGTCCCGCATGCCCGACGACACAGATTAGGCCTCGATGATTTTGAACACCTAACAACACAAGCTCCATCACAGTCTGTAAATATTGCCATGTTTAGTTATATAAGCATATAATTAAGTGGTTTGGTTAGTGTAACATATATAGCAGTTAATTAATTAATTAATACCTATTTTTGGCTGAGGAGGAAGGTTTGCAGCAAAGGTTGTGGCCACCTGAAATGCGTCACCCTGAGTTAGTCAAAAGCTTTGAACATAATACTACAAAAAACAGGATTAGGTAGTTTAATTACGTACAGTTTCATTGGAATCAGCGGCGAGGTCATGAAGAACGAGAAGAGAAACAAGAACGTGAGCGATCAGAACCTTCAACATCATTTTGGCCCTGGAGTAATTGAAAATATTCAATCTCTCGGAGGATATGCAGAGTTAGAGAACTGAGAATATGTGTGTGGTCTGAAAGTGAAAAACTGGTGTGATATTTATAGAGACGTTCATGAGGGTTATGGGATATGAGGTCATTTAATTCAGTGACACCGCGATGACAAAAAGTACTCCAACGAGGATATGAACCAGCAACAACATTGACCAATTAAGTAATGCTTTTATTGTGCTTTCGTGTAAATAAAAGTTTTTTTAAACCATAAGCAATAGCAAAAATTCAGTAACACACGAATATGTACATGTGTGAACACAATTACAAGAATTGTTGTATGAGCATGGGCGGAACCATGCAAGGCCTACGGGTTACAAAATCACGTTATATGAGTTACAAAATATGGTTTAAATGAATAATTTCCCAAGCATTACCCTAACAAAAAAAATGAAAAAATCAATGGTCATATTAAATGAGTTTAATGCAATAAATTGTCCAAGTATGCATGCATGCATGAGAATTGAGTGAGGTACAAGTATGCGTATAAATGTAAGTGTATGGAAGGAAACAGTTTAAGAGTTGTTAAACTGCTTAATTAACTTAATCCAGGTCATAATTTTGGTCAAATCCTAACTGAGTAACAAATTAAGCACTGTGTCTGTATGACTAAGAATTACTTGCATCTGCCTCACAATCCAGGCGTTTCTGTCGTTAGGGTTTCTGCACTTACAAATTCGAGTTTCAGCAGCTTGTTAATTTTGCAAAATGGGCGGGATTGGGCTCTGGGTCACTGAAAATAAGGCCCATGATTTAATTTAGGCTTTTCAGTTTTGAGTAAAGTGGGGCACGCCAATTTCAAGTTCAACTGCATTGACTTGTGATCGAGAGACTATGGTACAAAAATTTTCCTTATGGACAACTCAGTCCTCATGATCGATGCCATAATAATTCCCTGAGGCTTATGGAGTAAAAAATATATAGTAGGATAGTTAGTCATGCCACTCTTACAAAGGTCATCGCATGTATGTTGAAAGTTCTACTTGTACGAAGTCGGATGGTACTAAAATTGGGAATTGGATCTGCTCAAATCATCTGGACCGCTGATTGGTGTGTAAAAGAAATCAGAGCCGTAGGTTGGGTTTATGTGATGGACCTGAAAAATGAGTTAGTGAGGACTGTTAAATTGAATTTGTGCGGACCACATCCAATTCCCTCAAATAGAACAAGGCTTGTGTGAAAAGTGATCATCGAGTTCGTATGCTATGGTCCCAAAAAAAATTTCTTTATGGATAGCTTTTCATGATGTTTTACTAGCAATATCGAAATTGAAGGGTCATATTTGAAGAAGTAGAAAAAGAATAACATACTTACAAGCAATTTCTGTAGCTTTAATAACACACAGTGACATTTTTATTTATTTCGAAACATACTATTTATTCATCTGAAGGCATGAACACCTTCAATTCCCATATATACAGCACCTGCATGCCCCATATGAGCACGTTTGTTTGAGTTTCAAGATAGAGGATTGTTTTAAGGACACTTGCGTCTGCCGCCGTGGGTGGTGAGGGTGGCGTAACACGGGCAGGTCTCAAGATTGCCGGCGGTACCCGGTGGAACACAGCTGCAACGCTGGCAGCAAGTCCCGCATGCCCTCTTGCACAGATGAGGCCTCGATGATAAACGACATCGAGCACTGCATGCTCCGCCACAGTCTACATATATATTTACATTTAATCAAACGCTGCAGTACTATACAAGTCCAGATGAAAAATCTAAAAATAAACATTTACTTACCTATTTTCTTGAGGAGAGAAGTCTGTTCTGGATTGTTGTTTACCTGCAAATTCAAAGCATATAAAAAACATGCATATACCACCTTAAAGCTAGCTTGTAAACCACGAAAAACAAAGGATGAAGCTAGCAGATAATTAACTGCGTAGCTAATTATAATTAACCGAAACTTAATAGATAATTACCGTCTCATCAGCTTCGACGGGTGTGAGAACAAGAAGGGAAACGAGTAGTGAAACAATCACAACCCTTGATGAGGTCGAGATGGCCGCCATGGCTAGCTGATTAACGAGATTTAATTATTTCCTTAATTATATTCGTCTCAAACCTAATTGAAACTAAGCTTAACGTGGAGTGGTATTACTATGTGGTTTTCATTTGCATGGCCTCCCTATTTATAGGGCAGGAGCTTGCCAGCTGGGTGGGTACGTGTGGCATATGCTAATTGGCCGCGAATAATTAAGAAGCCAAAATATTAAGGAAAAAAAATGGCAAAAGCATGAAAAGAAATAGAAGGCATCACCCGTGTAAAAGCTTTTGGAATCGTGTGCCTGGACGATGAGTAAAGCTATCGTCTTTGCGTTTTGTATTCGTGGGGATGAACTTTCCAGCTGGCCTTAGGTTGTAGTAGCTCATGGTTATCATGCACGTCGAAAATTAATGATGAGTTTTTGTTCGAAGGAAGTTGGGGTTCTACTATAGAGAGTTAAGAGCAGATGTATATTAGGATCAAAGTAGTCCTAGGACCACTAAAAATCTGAAAAATATACATGTGACTGTCTTTTGAGTATCCTTAGAAATATACATGTCCTTTTTGTGCTCACTAAGTGTTCTATATAATAACTGCTAGACATATCTTTACAGATTACGTCACCAGCACTATACAAATTCTCTTGATATCACTTATTAGATTGCTTCAGCATATGTCGATATCTGTTAATATGTGCATAACATAATTTAACTAATGATAACAAGCCCATCAAGCTTTTAAAGAAATGTCTTAGTAAATAAACTGTTTTTTTTTTTTTTTTTTTTGCGGGCTTCGAGTTTTGTTTCTTTTTTAAAAACTTGGATTTTTAAACAATATAATTGTCCAAAATTCAAATCTTCGATCCGCCATTATAGGGAGTAAGCCAATTACATTTAAGTACATAAAAGTCTCCCATTTTTTTGGTGTGAAATTCATACTCTCAACCATTTTCATTTTTTCTTTATTCTTTGTCGCGTAGCCGAAGCGCGAATTTAGATTGATAAAGGCACACACCACGCACACAGTCTAGGGACTAATTACAGAAAATTAAGGTGGACTTATCGGACTTTGCCATGCATATAAAGCAAGCTAGTGAATCTAGCTAGCTGTTAAGCATGGAACCTTGCTATTAAGTATACTTAAGTTGCAAGACATGGGCAATCAATCAATTTTTCATTTTTTATTCATTTCAATACAAATATCTAAGTCAGATCTCTTTCACTAAGGTCATCTGATCAAGTGATTCGGAACTTTGAAATTTCATTTAACAGCCAAAAATTATTATAGCTTTTAAGAGGTCAAAACACGTGGGCTGTTGGATGAAATTTCAAAGACTCAAATCACTTGATCGTTGATCTTGGTGAAAGAGATCCGATCCAAATCTCTTGACATAACCCAATGTACATTAGAATAGAATTCACTTGAGTTAACTCAGAAATAAATATAAATTAGATTAGCGTTCGAAACTCTGAAATATAACTTTTTAAAACAATTCCAGAAGAAAAGTCTTATGAATTCCAGGCATGTACAAAAATGAAAACACAAAAATCTTGGGTTGATAGATACATGTACTGCTTTAAAATCCGGTGGCTGAGATTAATAGTTGAGAATTAAGGTAATTGAATATATAAAAAAAAAATCCATATAAAGAATTGGCTTGATATTTATGAAAATGAATCATTTACAAATTCCTTCTTTTTAATCCATTAAGTTTGAAAATTTCGATCATTAAAATTTGATCCAACGACTAAAGTTATTATAAATTTTAAAATGTGCTCTTATTTATAACTATTTGATTAAATCTCAACAATCCTAATTTTCGAACTTGATAAATTAAGAACAAATGAATCGGAAGAACCCCTTTCCATAAATATCAAGCCAATTCTATATATGGATTTTTTTATTTAGGCCGTGTACGGTCCTTTCTTGTTTTTGCTGGCTGGCCAGAAAAGTGACAGGTCTTTTAAAATGTGATGGGATGGATAATGGACTCTTCTGCCCAACATATATATATATATATGAAGTGGAGTCGACTGCCAAACCAAAAGGCACTAATGAAGTGGTTAGTAGTGGATTATTAGTTGGCTTTGGACCCAATCATTCTCCATCCAAATATCTAATCAAGTAATTAGTATTTGCCAAGCAAACAAATATTTAACCTTATATATAAGAGTGATGCATCCACAAAACTCGAAATTATGTGTGTCTTGTGTACAAATTAGCTTTGGTGATCCTCGTTGTTCGACTATCGCTATCTCTTTCATCTCGTCATATGAATCAATAAGAAAAACAAGAAAAAGAAAATATACTCTTAATTACACGATAAAATATTTGGATGAAGTACACGTGCCTGATTGGCCACATGTGCACTTAGAAAGGGGGACTTGTGCTTTATCTCAAACGAATGAGATGAGACCACAGAGCAAGTGACGGATGCATATTGGGACCTAGGGGTACCAGAATCACTCGGATTTCAAAAAATATCCAGGTGAAAGTCTTTCCAGGACCCTTCGAATGTTTGATACCGGTCCTTTTTGTGTGCACCAAGTATTAGAGCAAATGCCTCTTGCACGTTGTGTCAACAACGCTCTTCAAATTATTTCAATAGCACTCATCAGATTGCTTCGTCATATGTCATTATTTATTGACATGTGCGCAACTTGGTTAGGTTGCCGACAACAAGCTCACCAAGCGTTTGACGAAATGCCTCAGTAAATAAACTGAATTTTTATTACGCGCTATGTTTTTATTAAAAAACTTGAACCTTTAATAATGAGACCCACAAAATTCAAAATTTGGATCCGTCACCTCACATAGCTAGAGGCTGGAGGTCCGACTAACAGTGGCGGATCCAAGAAATAATATTAAAGAGGTCAGTAAGAATAGTGCGTAATTTTTTTTTACTAGACCTGAAGTTATTTGGAAATGCATATTGCACACCCATTAATGCTTTATTTGCGAGGGTAATTAACATGTTCCAAGCATGCTCCTATATGAATTCTTAACAAGGAAACACACTTATCAACACCCAAGGTATCTATGAACGATCATCGAAGTTCGAAGGGAGCTCAGTTGACACACACACCCCCCATCTTCTCCCCCACCTCTCTCTCCGTCTTTCTCTCTTTTCTCAATGCATCCGCCATTTTACTATCTCGCCAAATGACAATTTAACTGGCAACATTGATTGGCTAGCCAATTGCAATTGCCGTGTTCCTCCGGTAGTTTTCAATCACAAGAGCAGCCTGTGGTTTCGTGATATTTCATGACCTAAAAATGGAACTGGAAAGCAGAATTTCACCCACTAAATTTGGCATTATTGGCAAGTGGCAGCAACGACAAAAGCACTTTTTCCCTTTGGTCGTGACGATCAAAGCACTTTTTTATACCACCAAATCTTGGGCCTTCGGGTACAAGGCAGAAAGGAAAAACAACTGGTGGTTCGTAATTCTTGGGCCTTCTCAAATTTTCAGCTTTCTAGGCTTTCGCTTTTTTTTTTCCCTCGTTCTGCAATCCAACCAGCCCATTGGCTTTCCTGCTTGCTCATTCCTGTGAAAATTGTCATCACATTCTTTCACCTATCAGACCTCATTCAGTCCGAAGCCCATCGAAAACTTACAACTTTGTTCGTCGACTCCCACATTGAATTTGCTGAGAGGTCTTATTTAATCGAGTTTGCAAGGTACATGCTCGAGCATGCACGGAATTTGAAGAAAATGGCCGCGTTTGTCCACGCAGTTTGGCCAAGGAGTTTAAGAAGAAGCAAGAGTATCTCCAATGCCCCTGTTGTCTGTACGGAAAGGAGAATTCATCCTCCATCAGGTTGGCAACCAGGTGATGATCTTCGTACTTCGAGGAGTACGTATTTTGTTAAGGAATACGCGATTTGGAAAAGGCCGGGATGACCTCGTTGTAGATATGCTCCTTGAAACGTTTGATTGATTGGAAGTGAATTGAATTTGGCTAAGTAATAGCAGTTATTGAAGCAACTCCAGCACTTCCATGGTCTCTGCATTGACAACGTATGTTTCGAGTATACGGATTTACAGACAAGTTTGAGTATACACTCCGAGTAGCGGAAGAAAGTTAAAACATACATACACACACCACACGTACAGCTAGGTATAAATGTCACTGTACAATAATTACGAAGACATTATACATACAGAAAGATTTTAGGGATTCAATTTCAAGTCTTCTTCCCCTCTCTGCGTGCTCCTTGGCATGACCAAGAGGTACTTGAGGGATCGGCAACACAGATCTGAACGCGTAGTACCTCATGAACCGCGCCTCGATATAGCACCGCGAGAACCTCCTCTTGTTTGGCCAATCCAAAATCTAACAGAGTGAAGCACCGGGAACATAACTCATCCCGCATGCGGTAGCCATGTGACCATCTCCCAAGCGTCCACCATTTTACACAAACTTGCCGCTCCGATATCTCGCTACTCTGGAGCGCTTTCAGGACACATTCAGCCTGCCAATTATGTTATTAAAACACTATAAGCATCTAAAGTCAATAGCAGGTTTTGCCAGAATGTGTAATATGGCTGAGAGAAATCAAGAACCGCATACATTCTTCAGAACGAAATGTATCATCTTATGACATGGAAAAGCACAGAAGTAATTCGGTTTAGGGTTCAATGCAAATTCATCGAAAAATAAACGAGTTGGAAACGTAGATTCCTACGGAAAATTAATCAGTGGAGAGGGTACAGAGAAATCAAGAACTGCATACATTTTCAGAACAAAATGTATCGTCTTATAACATGGAAAAGCACAGAAAAATCGCTGAAAGAAAACGAGCGCGACAATGGCAGAATGAATTGTATCATCTTAGAAGTAAGTTTCATATCCTTTTCCTCACAGCCTCAACAGTCCTAAATTCCTAATGTCATTACGGTCACTATTGGCCTTAATGCAAATTCTTCGAAAAATAAACGAGTTGGAAACGTAGATTCTGACGGAAAATTAATCAGTGGAGAGGGTGATAAAAGTGTATACCGGTACTCTCAGCCAATTCAGGCAGTAGTGCAAACCAAGTAGGTTAACAAGCACAGTAAGCTTTGGTTTGAAAAGAAACATTTCCACATCCTGATATCCGAATTGCAATTGGTTCAAATTTCGCATCGCCTTCTGATACTCTCCAACCTCAAGGGATTCAGACGACGAGCATTTCTCCACGAATCGAACCACCGAGGCAGCAATCGCGGCCTTCTCGTTGTGCAGCTCGATGTAAAAGCTCCTCCACCCCTGCATAAATCGTAAATTTCCAAACGAGTATAACAAACACCATTGACTTACAACATATGCTCTAGGTTTTTTTTTATCTAAAGTATCGAACTTTCACGTGTTTTTCTCTAAAACGTAATGAGATCGAGGGCTTCTGCGTGAAAATCGTACTTCCTTCTCCGAAATCATGGATAATCATTAGGGATTGATCACACCACAAGCTCAAATTTTCAATTGATCAAATAATTTGATTGATTGACGATTGGGAAATTACCATGGACGTGGGCTTTTCGATTGCAGTGGAAGAAGAAGAAGACGACCCATGATCCGAAAATTCCAGAAGAGACCATCGCCGTCGTGCCAGACACTCCCATACGCAATCCGACTTACAGAGCTCCCTCCAAAACCGAGAACAGCTGCCCAACGCGCACAAATCCCACACCTTCGTTTCCAAAAATTCAAATTAAAAACAAAAAACACACACAAAATTAATATCTACAACCATCGGAAGAAAATGAAAGGATCGAGGAGCTTCGACTCACCGGTAACAAGGAAGCAATTTGGAGGGCAATATCATCCGGAACGTGGAGAGGAAGAAGAGAGCTCATTTTGCTTTGCGTGCACCTCTGAAATGAGTAGGGGGAAGTATTTGACTTGATAATTTGTTGGGGACTATCTTCTTCTGCCCCTTCCGCTTTCCACCTCATTGGAGTTTCCATCACGGAAACGACACGTACGCCAAGGAGAAACTTTTTATTGTGACTGAGAACACGAACGGTACATCACGTGCTTTTATATAAATTGTGGGAAATTTTATGTTTTAAGTTATTAACTTTTTAACACACTTTAGTCATCATTTGTATAATAAATGACACGTGATGTACCACATCGTGTACCGATCACATTAAAAAATCTCTACCAAGCCAGTTCGCGCCTGCAGTAAAACGACGACGTTCTGATTTTCTTTCTCCGCCAGTAAACGACATCAGAGGAGATAAAATGGGGGGGAAAAGCTCTATTTGTTTTACGATTAACTGGGTGCTTATTTTAAAGGTGATGAGTCATGCAGATGAGAAAAACGAGGAAGAAGGAAATTTCGCTCACCTCTATTCCCGTAAGATTAGTTTGGTTTAATTAATTTTAAAATTTAAACTAAGTGAGCATCATCCGCACTTTAAGGGTGAGCATAAATGTGCTCTAACAATGAGTGGTAATGGTTTACCTTTTTCTTTGCCTAAAAATTACTCGTGACTTGTAAATTTAGAGTATTTATCAAATATAGCTAAATATTAGCTTTTAATTTCAAAAATATCAATTTTTATAAATTTTTTTAAATATATTCAAAATATCATTTAAATAGATACAAACACCCTTAGTTCATACAAATAACTAGTTGTTGATAAAAAAATTCTTGTGCGATAATCAAGTGGTGCTTTCACTAATTTTTCTAATATGCACCATAAGAATTTCTATTTCGTAAACTTTAAAATATATTTATTGCACTTTCTAACAACACAACAAATCTCTCGATTTACTAGTGCAGTCAATGATAACCTTCAAAACAGAATCCGGACACGAACAACACCCTTAATATTGCAAAAGTGGAAAATTAAATATGAAGCACATATAATCCAAAGGAAAATTGAGATAAATAATGTTACAAAAATTGACAGTTCATTCTTCCATAAATATTCAATCGAAGGAAGAAACTACAAAAGCAAAGAGAAAATGTAGACCAGGAAAAGTGCGAAAAATCAACCTCTACACTCATCTTCGTTTAGGAGTGCACAATTCTTCACCAACAGTCGATGCTTTCACTAGGTCTCCTCCAATTTTAAGGTTTAGTTGTGGGAACTCTTCATCTAATAGGGTTTTGGTTTTTTTAATTTATTAGGTTTAAAGCTTAAGGGTATTTGTATCTATTTAAGTGATATTTTGGATATATTTGAAAGTTTTTATAAAAACTAAAATTTTTGAAATTAGAGGCTAATATTTGACTATATTTGATAAATACTCATAAATTTACTTACAAATGAAAATATGTAAAATAGTGGGAAAGAAAATAAAAATCATCATAATTTGGATGGACGATAATTTATTATATTAACACATGTTATAAAATAGATTAATATGTGTCATACGAAAGCATTATTCATTTTTCTCCTTTTACCATTCATCACTCGAGAATTTCACACATTTATACAACTACATTTTTATTTATTTATTAGTCTTTAGATCGAACAATTTCTCTTCCAACTCAACCTTTACTTAACATCTCATTGCAAATCTCTCTCTTATTTTTCTTCTTTCAAAACGTCATTTCTTTGTTCGGGAAAAAAATAAAAAATGCCTTTGGTGATGACCCACGACGGAGAGAAACACGAGTTTGTTTTGAAAGGACCATAACATATAACATACCTGTTTGAATTTCGGATACTTGTGTACAATCTGCGCCTCAGCCCCATCAATTTGGAACTTGTGATTTTATGGGGTTTATAAAAGTTGTCTAGGTTATGCTTCAAATTAAAAAAAGTAAGTTCAAAGACGGTTTGATAACTATTTGTTTTTACTTTTTAGTTTTTAAGCTTTGAAAACAGAAACTCATTTGATAACTACTAAACATTCAATACATATATCCTCCGCAGCTGACCTAATGCACGTTTGCATAAAAGAGGAGTATAAACTATAAAGGTGTTTAAATGCTAAAAGTTCCACGTTCTCACAAAAAAAAAAATAAACACGCCCAAAACTGTTTGCTTACAATATTCTAACGCACATTTGCATAAATACAGCAAAAAAACAATATTTATTTAAAAATAATAATATTTAATAGGTCCATGAAGCAGATCTTTTAATTAGGGGTTTCATTTGCTCGTCCTCCTCCAATGCTACCATGCCCAAATGAGAGGGGTCTTCCAGCATCATCTTTGCCACCAAGTACCCTGCAACCGACCATGTCTGGTACTTCCGTGCCTGCTTCCCCATGTACCTTCCTAGCTTCCCGTCATAGTACTCCGGCCAGCCGTCTTTCGACAACCGGCTCTCCGCCAGCTCGATCGCACGTCGCGCTATTTGGGGCCTCCCCGTTTTTATGCATGCCGCCGTCAACAGCCACAGCAGCACTGCGCCAATCACAAAAATAAAATTATTTTACGTAACATATTTTTCCCTCAAATTTCATTTTTCATTTAACAAAGCGCTTATGAGAAAGTACTTTGTACAAAAGCAGTTTCAAATAAGTGATTAGGCGATAAGTTCACCTGGCCAAGAGCCTCCATTGTGGTAACTCCACCTAGTATTCTTTGGATCACAGCCAGTAACAATCCTCCACTCATGATTTTCTATTGCTGGATAGCAAATCTTCAACGGCACTTCTCCGACCAACTCATCCCACCGCGATTCAATGAGATCCATGATCGCCGATGCCTGTTCCGGCGTCGCCAAAGACGATAAAATCGCCATGCAATTGCCCAAACAGAACCACCGGAAATCCATTCTGGCCGGGCTCACATTCCCAATGAAGTAACCGCCGTGGCTCGGCATGAAATCGAACACCCAACTGGGCAGCGAATCCGGCATGACGTTGAACTTGTTCACTGCCGTATGAGAGTACTCCTCCGTCTTGTAGCGGTAGATGTCGTTGAGCTGCTTCAGGTCCAGCCAGAAGTAGCTGCGCATGTGGTAGGTCAGGGCGTGGAGGCGGTCGGTTATGCGGTTTACGAATTCTTTGCCGCAGTTGTCTTGCTTGAGCAAAATCAGAGCGCATCGTAATGCCATGAAGAACAGCGCTTGAATTTCGATTGGATATCCGTACACACCCTGCAATACACATCATAACGTATTTTGATTAAACAAAAATTCTCTGCGCAAAAAGTCGATATTAGATGCTAATGAAACATGTCGGGATAAATTTTGTTACTCATATAATCGATAATGAAATATATATTATATCGACAATCTATTATTTAATAAAATAAAATGAACTTCTTGCTTAAAGAAGAAAACCGTGACATGACTAATTAGTCATATCATATGACTGATTAATCTCTGATCGCTATATTATCGATATCAGATCGATACGTCGTAAATATTAATTTCTCCTTAGACCTTTTTGAAGAAGGTTCTGTTACTAACATGTTTACTTCCATTGTAGGTAATGTGTTTGGGTTCAAGGCCCTGCGCGCTCTACGTCTGGAGGATTTGCGAATCCCTACTGCTTATGTTAAAACTTTCCAGGGCCCGCCTCATGGTATCCAAGTTGAGAGAGATAAATTGAACAAGTATGGCCGCCCTCTATTGGGATGTACTATAAAACCAAAATTGGGGTTATCCGCTAAGAATTACGGTAGAGCAGTTTATGAATGTCTACGCGGTGGACTTGATTTTACCAAAGATGATGAGAATGTTAATTCCCAACCATTTATGCGTTGGAGAGACCGTTTCTTATTTTGTGCCGAAGCAATTTATAACAAATAAGATGTAATGTATAATTATTTTAGCCGATTTTTGATCGCTACTATCGACTGAGTGTCCATTGATAAAGAATGGATGTAGGGTTTAGATAATAACTAAAGCAAAACATGACTACTTAGTAATTAGCGCACTGAAGGCGTCTGATAAAATGGGAAGTAAACTAACCATTCTGCGATCAATCATACAACATCCATCAGCACAAAGCAGAGTAGGGAAAGTATCAAATCCTTCTGAGAGGCAGAGAGCGAGGATGAGGCGAATGCCGTTTTGGCAATCTGGCATTTCGGAGACTGAAGAGTCCCCGGTCGACTTTGTGTAAGCACGAAGCAATATGATCCACCAGAATCCAGAATCAACCGGAGCCACTCTTCCGATTGCAGTCTCGCCAAAATCCGCAGATATGGTTTCGGAGTTTCGTATGGGGTCATGGTGCACTTTGAAGCTCGCCGGCATGACCCCTTCTCCTAGCTTGAATTGGTCCACAAATTTCTTCAGTGATTGCAGGCGAAGTGTTTTCAAAAGAAAGTTCTTCACTATCTCATATTCTCCATTCATCAAAAATGCCAATGCACTTGGCACAAAATCTCTAACAAACACCTATACAAAAAGATTACTAAGAAAAGCATGAAATAAATTTGTAACATTAATTCGAGAGAAGTATACACAAAAGGAATTGGTTATGAAATATAGTTTATATAAGAGCTCGTTTGAATGTGCTTTTAAAATGAATGAAAGCGCTTTTGGTGAAAATGTTTTTGGAACCAATCCTTAATAAAAATACAAGTAAATTCTGGAAAAGCACTTAAAGTGCTTTCTAAAAGAAGCACATAACTGATGCTTCTTGCAGAAAGCACTTAAAGTACTTTTGGAATCTAAAAACATTTTATCTAAAAGCATTTTCAGCCATTTTAAAAGTACATTCAAACGAGTTCTAAAGCCTCAGATCGGTAGTGTCCCTCCAGTTCTATTTTTAATTAAAAGTTCACCTGATCATAGTTAAGTTCTTCGACAGAATGGTCGACGGCGGCGAGGGTTCCAACAGCCTGGCCACGAAAGTGAACTACAGAGCGGCGCAAGGTTTCCCAGGCATCGGAAACCATGGGATTGGTGTCAAAGCTTGGTCTAGGACTCCCCAAAAAAGACAACTCGCTGAACGACCTTTCATCGAATGATCTCTTCTTCTCCACGCTTACCGGTCTAGGCCTGTCCAGCAACCTCAGAAAATTGGAGTCTTCTCCGATTTCGAAAACAGGTGACTCGTGAGTTCTCGCATTCCCATTTTGGAAAGGAGACATCTCTTCCGGTTCTCGGTCCTTGAATATCGATCGAAAACAGCGATTTCGGTATCAAATCTAAGGTTCAAGAATCTGCATAGGTTGACCGCATGAGTTGATCACAAAAAAAAAAAAATAATGATGTAGATTTAGCACATAAAGTTGATGGATATTGAAAGCAACTAATTCCTTTACTTTTTTCTTGTAAAAGTCGTTGAGTAAAACTTTTGCTTACCAAAAACGTAGCAGAAAAGCTAACGAAGGGAAGAAGATGGCTGCTCGCCCTGCTGGTGATGCCAGCAATGTGGCAACTTATATGGTGGAGCGAAATGGGAAGGATGAAAAAGTTGACAGCAGGGAAGCAAACGGTCTCATAGTTTTTGATCGAATCGACGACATTCATAATCTTCGACCATACATCAAAGACAAGTACAAGAAGCGAATTTTAACCGGACTGCGAAAGAAAATGGCGTTGTAGTTAAATGTGGACGGAAGTTGGCAATCTAGGTAAATCCGTCAGCAGCTTGGGATGTTCCCCTCGTTTTCGTCTTTATTTTTGTGTAGCCCGAATGGTTTATGGTTGTCATATTTCCGAAGTCCAAAGGCTGCCGGACCAAATGAACGTTTATAGTTCTTCTTTATTTCCAAAGGTTTTAACGTTTTCTTCCTATTTTTTTTTTAATTTTTATTTCCATGATCCAGAGATCAAGGTTTAAGCAACATTTTTTTTTTCTTTTGGTAACAAGTTGCAAAATTGAAGATCTCTGTGAATTGTTTGTTTAAAAGAGATTTTTAAGACTAAGAAGGTGGGATCTAGGAGCATGTGGTTGATATTTTAGCAGATAGAATGTTGGATTTTCATCCATGCATCTTAGGTTCGAAAATCTTCATTTTTTAAATTATTGTAATATTTTTAGACTCTCCCCCTCCCGTTAATAGTAATAAAATTTAAAGAAAAAAAATGGGATATGGGAGGTAGGAAGCATGTTAGTTGTCCACGAGGATTTGCCGAAAATAGAATATTTAGCTTATGGAAATAGGTATGCAAAATATGAGTTTTATTCTCATTTTTTGTATATGGTGCATTTACTAACATATAATAAAGTCGTCATTTAGTACTACGGTCTAGTGTAATTCCTCTTTACTTGTAAGTGAGAGGTTTTAGGTTCGATTTTCCTCAAAAGAAAATTTGAACCACATAATTACCACTGTTCTAAAAATCCCCGCTTAACGCCGCCTAGACCCCATCTAGGCGGTTGGTCACTACCTCGATTAATGTCTAGGCGTTTGAAAATTAAGAAATGGCCCATAGACCTACTGAGGCTCCCGGCTAGACCGCCTAGGCACCCGCCCATACCCACCTAGGCATCGACTCATTTAGGCAGAAAATAGATAACTTTCATTTTGCATTTTATTTTTTTTCAATAAATTGTAAGAGACTTGTCGAATACTTAAATGAGCACACATTATATGCTTGTTCCCCATGTTTTCATTATGTTCCAATACTTCATAATATATGTGTTATTATATTTTGTAGTTTATGATAAAATTATATATATTTCAAGTATAAACGTACACTTATTTACATGAAATATAATGGATTTAGTTAAATATGCCTAGTCCGCCTAGGCGCTATGCCCCAGCTTGCCACCCGACTAGCGCTTAGCGTCTTTTAGAACCTTGATAATTACTAACGCATTATGAGACTTTGCCTACTCCCTTACCGTTTAGTATCGATAATATCATTTGCTTAAAAAAAAAAGTATAATAAAGCTGTTTATAATAATAAACAAAATATTGATAACAACCATTAGGCTTAATGAGTTAGAGAACTTGTCCAAAGTTATTCGTCCACGAAAATTGTAAACAAATCATGCACAAAGAAAATTAATTTTTAGATAACTTCGAAGATTTTAATTGATAATTTTCGAATAATCAAGAGCAAGTTCCACGACGTATATTTAATTTGTTCAAGTCATTCGTCATGACAAATTCCCAATGTACAGTATTTTGTCATATTTAGAAAAAGGAAAATACGAATGCAAGGCATTTTTTGTAAGATCCGGCGGCAAGTTCAGATTCTTAGGAACATCTTTACGGTTATAGTTTAATAATTTTCCAAATAGTTTTATTTCTTCCAATTACAAAAAAGTATTTCTAAATTAAAAGTCCGCATCCTTACTATTACGGTTGTTTGGTCTTGTCTGTAAGTGGTTAGATTTGCACATTTTAATCATCTACGATGGGGCGGCAATTTAATTTCAACAATTGATATTTTCATCGAGTGCTACATTCATGTTCTCACCTTAATCGATTGATGTCAGCTGACAACCAAGACAGTTCAGTCAATGCAAACAACCAAGCTTGAAATCACCAGCTCCCGAAAACCTCTGTTACTTAGGAAAACAACCCAACTTTGGGCAGAAACACGACTCCCGCCATAAATTAGATTTGGGATGCCTTGAAGAATACATCCGAGAGAAGATCGATATCCATTTCAAAAAAATTATTTTACACTTCTCATAAGAATACATTTAAAAAAAAAAAATCAATTTCTAACTGACTTGTTACTCGTTTAACGGCCCGATTTCTTTAACAAGAACCCAACCTAAACCAGCCCAATCCAACTCTATCCCTCATCTCATCTGATAGACCGCTTCGCTTTCAAAACACGACACCTGTTTTATATTTCCCGACCGTTGAGATTGAAAGCTCCCTCTTTGACAACTCGCAACTCTTTACACTCTATAGTGCTCTCTCTCTCCAACGGTCTTCTTCTCCTCCAAAACTCCGCTCTCCAAAGATCCGATCTTTTTCTTCTTCTTCTGCGATTTCTCTTCCCAAATGGGCACCAAAGAGCTTCTGGACTCCCCCCCTCCGCGCCGGAACTGGCACAACATCTTCAACGCGCTGGTACAGATGCTGCGGTCTCAGCAATCGAACCTCGAGACGATGGCCGCCGACAGAAAAGTCTTCAAAGATCGCGTCAGAGTGCAAGAAGAGAAGTGGATCTCCGCGTTTCATCTCTTGGGAGATCAAATCCGCCAGGTATTTTCCCCAATTTTTCAATTTTGTAAAATTAGGGTTTCGTGTATTGACATACGAATTTCTTTTTGGGGGGGTTTGGAATTGAAAATTTCTGTGGGTTTCTTGTGAATTTGTGTGTAGATGAAGGTGGACTTGGAATTGAAAGAAATGGAAGGCTCCGTTGAGTCGGCCAAGTTAGGGTGGGCTCTTAGCATGAAGCAACAAGAGGCTTATATCGCGAAACTCAAGTTAGGTGAGTACTTTTTTTTCATATGTGCAAAAAATATTGTTACTTTATAAGCATGATTTTCTGTAGATTGTGTTTGATTTCGTTAGAATTCTGTTTTCGAAACACAAGAAAACTTGGGTTTAGTATTTCTAGCGTTCCATGTCGATTTGAGTAGTAATTTGAGTTAATCCGTCTTTCTTCCTGTCAATGTATTAGGTTTGTATTGTCTATATAAGCAACTCGATTATGTTGGATTTCGATGATTTTTTCCGTCAAAATATCCCATGTTAGCAAATTAGCAAGGCCTCTTTTAGATGATGGGGTACTTGCTGTATGTGGGTGGGAATTCGGGCTGTTTTGTGATACTATTCTTGATGTTTTTGTACTTACAGAATACTCAGACAGTGAGGTAGAAGGTTTTAAAGCATGGTTTGACCTACACTCCAACAAAAATACCACCTTAAAGCAGCAATGTGATAAGCTTGCTTCCGAAAAGAGCTTCGCGTGGCATCAGTACGACCTTATGGAAAATGATTACAAAACTAAACTGAAGAGCAAGAATTCTGAACTTGAGCAGGCGAATGCAAAGATACAAACTCTTCTCGCCAGTATGGAGCAGTTACAGTCCTCAAGTACCGAAAAGGATGACAAGATTGGAATTTTAATAAGTAAAGTTGCTAAGATGGAGACTGATTCAAACAAGTTCAAGGAGGAAATTTCTAAACTTTCAAAGGAGTTGGAAACATTAAGAAATTCCGCAAGTACTTCGTCTACTCCTGTTTTGAACCGGTGTACAACAAGAACTAGAGGCAAGAGTAGTGTTAATGTAACTGTGAAGAAAGATTCGTCGGCTGCACAACGTCCTCATCCTTCAAAGGACACCAAAAGGGTACTTCCGATTTTAATGAGTTCGAATCAGATGTGTTCTTATTTATTTCTCTCTGCTATTTTGTAGCATCAATGCTAAAACTACAATATTTGATCTTCTGCTTCTGGTTGATCAGGGGAGCGGCAGTTCAAAGAGAAACGCAGATGATGTTATAACCATTACCGAGACTCCAAAGTTGTTCTCATCCAGATTTAAAGTACCCAAGTTGAAGAATGCATCATCACCCAGTGTAAGATAACCGTCCCACCCAACGGCGTTTTCCTAACGGCGATTGTCACACCGTAGTTTCATGTGGAGTTGTTCAGTTTTAGCTTGTCTTGTGTTCTCCTAGAGTTCATTGCTTTTGTGTAAATTATGTGTCAATCCTAACAAGTAGTAAAATATATGATTGGATCTGTGAATCATCTATGTGGTGTTATCTTACACATTTATCCTGTAAATTTTGATAAATTTATTTTTTCTTTTTTAATCAGTGGGAATTTGATTCGCAGTAGACTTTTCTATTTTTTGCTTTATAGCTTTCTTATTCCCAAGGCCTATTTGTAATTGCCTCTAAAAGCACTTCTACTACTTTACGCATAAAAAACTAAAAGCTGCTTTTGGATCGTAAAAACCCTTTTTTCTAAAGAAGGGGCTGCATCAGTTCCAGTTTCTCCAAAATCCAAATGCAAAAGAAATTAAGAGATGCATTTTGGCCATAAAAGCGCTTGCTTCCTAAGTGGATTTGGATTTTTCAATAAAATTTTGGCAAGTTAAGCTGTTGAAAAAGAGTCTATAAGTACAAGTACTTTTTACAAAAGCAATTCCAAACCGGCACCGTTCTATCATAAACTCACGAGTAAAGGTGGCAAATTAATTCATTGGATTGTTAATGGATACCCATTAAGACCGACTTAGTTTGATTTCATCTTATATCATCATCACCACTACTAATCTCAACTATATATTACGGTGATATCAAATTAAACGAGTCTTTAACAGGTATCCGTTAACAATAACACGGCAGGATCATGAACTACTAATCTCAACTATAAATTACAGTGATTTGTCACCTCTACTCACGAGCATATTTCCAAACTATCCACACAACTAATTCATTCTTAACTAATAACACAGCAGGATCATGAACTACAATTTCAGTGTAAAACAACACCACGAACATCATTAATTGTTACATCATGATGATGATTATGATGAATGGAACCTCAAAAACTGCTTGATTAACTTCATGATTAACAATAAGTAGTTGTTTTAATTAACTAATAAGTACCCCAATAGTGAGGCCACCACTTGGACTGCACAGAAGACTGATAGGACACCAAAACGAGCAACAGCCCCAGAAACAAGGCCACGCCCCAGGGGGATGCTCCTCCACCTTCAGCTGCCTTATCAGCCACCGCCGCCTTCGTCCTCACCCGAAAGTTCCGGTATGTGATCAAACAGTAAGCGACAATGGTCAACAAGAAGGGCAGAAACAAGACAAATATATTGAACCCGAACTTAGTTCTCTCCATCTGCGCCTTGTAGCTGGTGTAAGATGAAAATATTAGTAACGCAACCACTATGCCGACTAGCATCACTAGAGACGATGGCGGCGCGGAGACGGAGGCTAGGGTCTCCTCCATCCATCCCCTCCTTCCTTTTCTCTCACTCAAAAACCAACCCATCTCTCTCTAGCTAGTTTTTTTTTTTTTTTTGAGTGAGATGAAGGATGAAGATGGTATTATATATACCCAAGTCACTGTAGCACATTTCGGGCAAATAATACAATGTATTTGACCTCCACTACGTGACATTGTATCACTGGTTCGAGATGACGCGTGGCATTCCAGGGTTAGACAGTAAGAGGAGATGAGAAATTTTTAATCATGACGGAAACACGGATGGTACATTACGTGTTTTTATGTAAATGGTGAGAAATTTTATTTTTGAAGTTATTAACTTTTTAACACACATATCTTACCATTTATATAACGATACGTGGTGTACCACCAGTTTAACAAACACACTAAAAAATCTCTCAAAATACCAAAGTAGTATGGGAAATTGGAGGTTAACTTTTCCCCAAGTAAGCTAGTTTTTCATGATTTGAAATTACTAGGGTTTTAGGGTGGGGTCTGATATGGGAGGTTTACAGTGCAGGTGTGTTGGCTTTGTGCCTTTGGCATAAATTCTCAGGTTGCAGATTCTTATCTCCCACCAATCTTTGCATCTATTTCTTTTGGATACTTTGAAATGCCCACATATAAGAGATTTTTCAATGTGTTCGGACACACAGATATGTAAGTCATACGTTATTATATAAGTGAAGAGGATTTTATTTTTCAAGTGTCTCTCCACTTATATAATGACATTTAACGTATGTGTACGTGTTCCAGACATAACTAAAAAAAATCTCTCGAGTCGGAGGAATTTGATACTAAAATGTTAAATTTTCCCAAAAAAAAAAACGAAAAAAGTACATAAAACAGGGAAAGAAGAATATATGCTTCTTGGTTGATTGCAAATCTTCACGATCAAGGAAGGGTTGGATATGCTGTATTTGCTATGTTATATGTGATTAAATTTTTGATTAAGTTTTTATGACTTGTTTGAGATTGTTTTACGACAACCAAACATGGTTTAGGACACTTGAAATGACTTCTGACTGCATTTGAGAAAAAAACTTTAAAAGTGTTTATGACTCATAATTTTTTTTTTTTTGAAAAATATATATGAAATGTTTTTTTTTTCTTTTCAGAAAGCACTTCAAGGTATATATTCAAAAGACAGTGGATAATTTTAATAAAATTGAAAATGTAATGGAGCTGATTTTCACCTTTTCTTTAGCCTCTCACCCATTATCTTTTATTTTTAACCATCATATTAAAAAAATCAAACGATAACAATCAAGATAATTAAATAGAATAGTATAAGAAGAGAGAAAATATATTTTTTATCATTACCAAAGACATAAAATCGTGAATGAAAAAACGTGACGATGGACCTCTCTTTATACGATGTACTTCAAATAAATGCTTTTAAGCAATTATATTACGAGAGACTATATATAAGAAATACTTACGTTTATAAACACATAAAAACACTATTATTCCCCCCAACAAAAACCGGCAATGGCGAAAAATGGACGTATTGGGTTTTGTTGGACTCAAGTTGTTGGGCTTAATTAAGGCTAGCTTAAGTTGGGCTTCATGAATAGTACGGCCCGTTATTGCATTAGGGCTTCAGATGTTTCCCAAAGGGATGTGCTATCCACACATCCCATTTTACTTTTTACATACCCCTTATTAATTTCCATTTGTTGATTTTTTTCAAATCCTCCGATCTGACTGTCGAAAATTAAAATGGTATGTAAAAAGTAAAATAAGATGTATTCCGAAACGTTTCAAACCGCGAAGCCCAAAAAGGGAAGGGCAATTTTCCTTTTGAATATCGAAATTCACACCCTCGCTTTTTACTCCCTCCGATTTTTCTTCCAAAAACCCTTTTGGTTTCCATCTTTTCGCCTGCGAATTTCTCACACACTTAAAATTTTGAGAGATGCCGCCAAAAGATGAGAAGCCTGCGAAGCCGCGGAGGGAGGTGAAAGAGGAAGAAGACGACGACGATGAGAAGAGCTTGGGTTCGATTGCGTTGGAGCGCAAGAAGAAGCAACCCACGAAAAGCAGTGGCAATGCGAATGGAACGGCGAAATCTACGGGAAGAGAAGCCGCTAAGGTGAAGAAGGAGGACAAGATGGACCAAGATTGGGATAAGGCCACGAAGGCGAAGCCTAAACAAGAAGCCAGAGTGAAGAAGGAGGAGAACGGCGGCGATAGCAACGAGGAATTGGGTTTGAAGCCGAGAAAGGGTTCGAATTCAAAGCCCCAAAAGGTTCTTGCTTTGTTTTGGTTTTTTTTTTCTTCTTTTTTTTTTTTCAAATTTGGGTTCTGTTTGTGAGAAGGTACTGAATTTTACTGTTTTACTGATGAATGCGGGTTATTTGGATTAAGGAAATCAAGGACAACAAGGTGAAGAAAATGGAGGAGGAGGAGGAGGAGAAGGGGAAGAAGAGGAAGGCGTCGGAGGCTGCGACGGAGGAGAAGAAGAAGAGGGAGAAGAAGGTGTATGATTTGCCTGGTCAGAAGAAGGACCCTCCCGAGAAGGTACACAAACACTGCCTTTTTTCTCTTATTACTTTAATTCGTATTTAGAATGTTGCTTTGGAATTCTTTGGGTGATTGTTTTGTTGTACTTTGGAGTTCAGAAGGACCCACTCAGGCAATTCTACGAGTCGCTTCACGAGCAAATTCCGAGTAGCGAGATGGCGCAGTTCTGGTGAGTCTTTGCTCTCCCATTTGTTCCGATAATTGGTTTTGCTCAAACAACTACTGCTGAGTTTACTGCATACTATTTGAGCTACCTGATGCTTCTCATTGCATTCAGGCAATAGAATTTGTTTTGGAGTGTGTTTTATTGTGAGTAGCTAGTTATCTAGTTACCTCTATGCTGCTTGCACGGAAGCGCTGGCTTTGGGGCATCCAAAAGCATGTTTAAGTCCCAAATTCGGTGAACTTGAATTACAATTCAATGAATTGCATCGTGCTGCACCTAGTTTACAAATAAAATTGAGAGAAGTTTGGATACCTACTATTCAACCTTGTTCTTGTTGTTTAACATGTATGGAAATCAGGAAATGTTTACTTTGGTGCATGCTGCATTTAGGGCATTAGGTTTAGTTATAGCTTGCAATTGACAGTTTGAAACCTGCCTCTTCGGTTGCTGTCTGAGTGGTGGTCGTACTTTGAATGATGCTTTGCTTTTATACTTGTAAATGACATAACAGATTCATGATTTTCATACCAGTTTTGCTTGTTTGCAACCTATAGGTTGCAGACTAGTTAAGTTGGTTGTTTGCAACCAGAAGGACGGATTCGTAATGGAAAATCTTGGCCATTGGGTCATGTAGAATGATCCTAACCATCAACCCAATCCTCCCTTGCCTATAAATGCGACTCTCCTCCCTCATTTCCTTCACATTTTCTAATTCGAAGTCCTTGGGCAGCTTCTCCCCAAACTGGGGGTAAGACCAAGAATGTTTAAATCCTCCCAGATCCTGCAATGGCGAGACCTCGTTCTCTTGCCCTTTTTGATTATTTGCAATGCTACAACTCTAGCAGTTGAAACTAGAAACCGACCAAGTATAATTAAACCTAGATTGCTTCTGTAAAAGCATGGATTTCAAGTTTTCAATGTGAATTCAGGATGATGGAGTACGGTTTGCTACCCAAAGTGGAGGCGGAGAAAGTGTTTGAGAAGAAGCAGAAGAAGAGTCAACTGCAAAAGCTCACTTCTCCAACAAAATCTGTATCTTCTGTAAAGACAAGCACAAAGTCAGTTACTGTTAAGAAGAACACACCATCACCCGCAGCGCCTTCAAATAACAAGAAACCGACAACAGTCTCCAAAAGCGCAACAAACCAGTCGAAGAAGCAGAAGACGGAAGATAGCAGCTCAGAGAGAGACTCTGATGATGACTTTGTGGCCAGAATAGTAAAGAAGAAGCAAGCAGCTTAGTTGTGCTATTTGTTTGTCATTAATCAATCACAGCCTTGGGGCATTTGTTCTGCTACCTTATTATTCGGCATTCGGATGTAATTAACTTTCATTAATCGGATTGTAGCGACGTTTTAACAAAAGATTAATCGATGGTTTATCATTTAGTGTTTGTATTTTTACTAGGGTTTTCTTAGTTAAAATTGTTTTTCTACTACAAAAGTAAAAGATTATTAGGGAGAATCAGGAAGGTGGATTTTGTGATATGCACTTTACGTCGTCGTTTCTGCTTTTGTTTTTACTTGGTCCTGAAGTAACGGAATCCACAGAATTAAGTCCAATTAACAGGATTTTCTTAAATTTTATTTTTTATGTTTAATTAACTTAATTTTCATACCATGGTCAAGAGTTAATGGGCTTAAACTCAGTCTGGTAAGAAACTGGGCTTACAAGTTAAAGGGTCAGCTACTTTGGTTGCCATTTCATATTCCAACATGATTTCTTGAAACCTTTAAGGGAAGAGATTATCATTTTTTTATAAAAATAAAAATTAGTTGTGGGGTTCATATCACATCGAATTTTAACGATCTAAACCGTCTATTTTTCAAGTTGTACCTCATAGATCATCCTTGCAAAATATTAGCCAAATCAGAAATATTTAAGACATCTAATTGGGTTCGAAGAAATGAACGAATACTTTATTATATAAGAAACAATGAAATTTGATCTTGATAATTAAATAGGCAAATGGTTTCGGATTGAATTGAATTTTTGCAAGGATGATCTATGAATCGAGACTTACAAAATAGACGGTTCGGATCCTTGAAATTCAATGTGGAGTGGGCCCCACACCTATTCCCTTTTTTTTTTTTTTTGAAAAAAATAAGAATCCCTTTGCATAAAAGACTTGTTTCTTTTCATATATAGAAGTACAAATTTTGGTGTGTTTATTAACGTACGAATGCCCTTTGTTCTCTTATCCTCTCTTATTTTTACCTACAAGATGAATAAATTAACGGTAAATCAAAGGACAAAAATAGGCTGAAAAAGTGTGAAAATCATTTCCCATAAATGTATCACCAATTAAATTTATTTTTGTTTGATTTATAATATGTTTTGGTGAGTCATAGGGACGCTTTGCATGAAGGAAGGCGAACAAAATTGGTTTCAAGTTTATTTCTGGATGACGTTGCCCATATTTTTTTTGCCTCTTACACACTCATGTTAACTTATGCTATTTGATTATCTTCAATTCGTTTAATCCGACAATCAAAAATTTGAAAAGTAATTGTGAACCTTTTCTATAGCAGCCGCATCGACTCGAAAGATAAGACTCTGTGTAGCCTTAAATAATGTAAAAATAGAAGATATTAATTTTGTGCATCTGGCCATACAGACACGTGATTTCTTGCATATTCCTTGTTAAACTAACCCGAAAAACAGAAGGTAAGAAAAATAAAAAAGCGAAAACGATTTAAGGAAAACTCCCTCTGATTAAAAAATAATAAAAAATTACAAAGACTATATACCCTAGGGAGTAGGGCCTTGGCCTCAATCTCCATCTATTCGACACGTGTTGCACTCTCCTACCTCCTCAAGGATTATTTTCCCCTCGCGTCCCATAAACACAGAAGACAAAAACCCCGTCCTCCAAGTTACTCGCTCTCTCTGCTTTCTCTCTCTCAACCCTCTCATCCAATCTTCTCGTTGCCCTCAACGCCTCCGCACCCCCGCCGTCGTCCGCCTGATTCCGGCGCATATATATACTTGCTTTTGGCCACAAAGACTGCAATATTGCTGTGAAATCCTCAATTGTAGAGAGTGAAAGCAATGGAACAGAGAGAAACACTAACAATGGAACAGAGGCTTCCACTCTTCCCCTGTTTTCCGAACGCCAGCGACTCCGAGATAGAGGTGGCGAAAATCCTGATTAATCTTCCCCACATGATCTCCGAATTCGAAACTCCGCTTCCGATTCCGCTCGCGCTCGTCTGGGGATGCAAGAGAAAGAGATCTGTACTCGCTCTGAAGAACGACGGCGGCGCTTCCACTCTGCGTCGTCTGATTGGACCTGATTTTTTGTCTTCACTTCCACTCTGGGCTTCTCTGGCTCCTCTGGGTCCTGGGCCTTTGGCGGCCATGGCTCCGCCGCCTTCCCCCGTCCCTAATGCTGTCAAGGAGGAGACTTCCAGCCCCGATACGCCGCTGTGCTTCGAGCCCAGTGAATCTGATGAGAAGCAGCCTGACCACTTGAGAAGTAAACTCCTTGGTCAAAAAAGGGTACGACTTTTTTTCTCTGTTCAAACTCCAGAAATAAAACAACGTCTTGTTTTTCCATAAGAAATTTTGTAATTTATTTTTCTGTGATATGGGTTTTGATTTTCTGGGAATTCTGGCAACTGGGTTCGATCTCTTTCTTTCTTTTTCCAATTTACGGATTAAATATTTTTGATTTATTTACTATTTTTCACTGTTTTCTGAATTTTTTTTTTTTTTTTTTTTTTTGTTCTTATTGATTCTGCAGAAGACAGAGGAATGGATTACAATTGTGGACGAATTGACTTCGAAGAAAAAATTGCGAAATCAAGTAAGTATTTTACTTGAATTATTTTTTGGTCTTTTGCAGCAATTTCTCTGTCTTTTTCTAAAATTCAACCGTGCCAAATTATCCTTTTTCTTTTTCAATTTATTTATTTAACTTCGATTTTTGATAATTTGAGCAGGAGCTTGTGAATGTGAAGCGTTTCTTTGAGAAGATGGATGGTCTTACTTTGGAATTGAAAGCAAGGAAAGAGGAGGTATATTTTTGTTTCGCTTAAAAAATATTTTTCTCTTGTTTTAATTTGCTTACCCTTTTTTTTTATTTTTTATTTTTTAAGCAGCTAATGAGACTTGACCATAAACAGGAAGAGGAGCCGTGTTTGGATACGGATGCAAGCCCGGAACCAACCGAGCAATTAAGCCAATCGACCCAACTCACGTCTGTGACTCCGCCTCAACCGGCCCCAAATCAAGAGCCTTACCAACATCCTGAGCAAGTGAAAATGCCAATGCCAATGCAAATGCAAATGCAAATTCCTTCTCCTCCTAGTGTGATTTTTTATCAACATCAACTGCAGCAGCTGATCATGGATCAAACGGCTAAAAATCAAAGAAGAGAGATCAACGTGGGCCCGCGAGGCGGTAACTTTAACCTCTGTTTTAAGGATTCAATCGTGTTGAACTCCTCCCAGCCGTTTGATCTTGGCTTGGTTAACAAGGATATGATTAGGAAAAGGGCAGCCGAGGCAAGGCAGAAGAGGCTCGAAATCTGCAGGGTTAAGAAACCTCGCTTCCACTCCAGATGACATCGCATTGGCCAATGTTTTTTTTTTTTTTCAATTTTTTGCCCCTAATAATTTGATTACTTTATTTGGGGTGTAATTTTTTATCCAAACCAAAAGGTTTGATGAGGTCTTTTTTAGCAATTATTAAGGTGAGACTTAGTACGTAGATATATTGTACCTATAATTCCATATATTAACATTGTCATAGAACAAGAGAAGCTCGTAATGAGATTTTGGTCATTGGGAATTACGTCGATATTTGATTGATATATTGTTAAATTTAATTTTAGATTCGTTCAATAATTATTTTTGTGTGTGACAAATTTGAAAAGTTCGTGTACCACAAAAAGAAACAAGGAGCATGTTAATATGTGAATACTTTTCAACTATTTGAGCTATAAATATCTTTACAGATTAAACAATATTAAAATTAATCAAGACGATTCTAAATTTAACAAAAAAATAAAATTATATATACCTTGTAAGGCTATGGTCAAAGAGTAGCCATTGAATCCTTAGATGTAGAACTACCACTTCACTCATCTACTATACATCATGTACCAGAGCGTAATAAAATTTTCATATAATTAAAAAGTATTTATCCGGTTTATATTGTAAGTGAAACCACAATATAATTGAGTTTTTGCCAGTAACAAGACGGAGCAGGCTTTAGAATCTCGGCCGTAGATGACGAAGGAGGAGGATTTACTTCACAACTGTTGTACGAAACCCTAGTTGCGTTCTTACATAAGTAATAGTTATCCTTTGAGATAACGCCTTATCAGCCATTCAGTACTACGATTTGGTAATATGTTTTTTTGCTTAGAAGTGAGAAGTTTTAAATTCGAATCTTGTGAATAGTGTATTTGATACCAAATTAAGCTATCCATTATGTTGTTTAGCTGAACTCTCCATTTCTCTTAATATAAAAATATCGATGTACTAAAAAAAAAAAAAAAGGCTCACCTGCCTCCAGCTGGAAATATGCAGAGGCAAATACTATTTTAATTTCCATCTCTCTCAAACACATACACTCTCTCTCTCTCTCTCTCTCTCGCTCTTCTCTGTCTATATATATATGTATTATAATTATGATGCAAGCGAGGAAAATTATTAATTGGGATGAGAAGCTTGCAATTTTACTGGTGCAAGCGACGTTGCACCTCATACTTCCATGATACTGATGCATCTATGATCTATCATTTTCTATGTTTTCCTTCCTTCCTTTCCTCTTTAATCTTTTTCTGTTTGGTTTTTTAATCCTTTAATTATTTTCAACTTTAATCAGAATTTCTTGTATTCTAGTTTTGATCATCTAGAAATGCCGTTGCCATAATCTGAAATTCTTTTCTTCACTTTACTTTTTCTCTAATTCTTCCCGATCGCCGAAAAAAGAAGGTTTTCTGTTCGGCAATCGGGCGGAATCAGAAAACAAGTCCGCTGCTATGACTATGTTCGATACAATCCTTTCATCCTTGGCTTTTAAACAAATCACCAAAAAAAAATAATTATATCTCCCGTCAAAGTTGAGCAAATATTGAGTTTGACGGTGGTGGAGATTTTATAATTTCCGGGACAAAGTGAGATCAAAATTGAGTTTTAGAAAGCAATGCAATTTGGAAAAAATAATCAACGATTGGCAGCTGATGGAAAAATTACAATTTTATTCCATACTTGGAAAAGAACAATCACACAAAATCGTCTTACAAGATTATTTACTAATTGTAACTTAATCCAGCAAGGTGATAATCTTGCGTGATTAGCCGAGACAATAATCCACAAGCAAAGACAACAAAATGATAAAAGCAAAAACGCAGATTTTACCATGCAAGTACACAAGCAAGTAATAAGGGACGCCCCTTCCATGCCAAACCTTTCTTCCGGTCCTGATTTGTGATTGCCGGCATGTTCTAGTCCTCGTAATGCTCTTCGGCACCTTCCTCCTCGTACTCGCCCTCATCCTCCACGGTTGCATCTTGGTATTGCTGGTACTCGGCAACCAAATCATTCATGTTGCTCTCTGCTTCGGTGAACTCCATCTCGTCCATGCCTTCACCAGTGTACCAATGCAAAAAGGCCTTGCGCCGGAACATGGCTGTGAACTGCTCGCTCACTCTCCTGAACATCTCCTGGATTGATGTAGAGTTACCAACAAAGGTAGATGCCATTTTTAAACCCTTGGGAGGAATATCGCACACGCTTGACTTCACATTGTGAGGGATCCACTCAACGAAGTAGGACGAGTTCTTGTTCTGCACATTGATCATCTGTTCGTCCACCTCTTTGGTGCTCATCTTCCCCCTGAACATAGCTGAGGCTGTCAGGTAACGTCCGTGGCGAGGGTCAGCAGCGCACATCATGTTCTTGGCATCCCACATTTGCTGAGTCAGCTCCGGCACGGTAAGGGAGATGTACTGCTGGGATCCACGAGAGGTGAGAGGTGCAAACCCAACCATGAAGAAGTGAAGACGTGGAAATGGGATGAGATTCACAGCCAGCTTCCGGAGGTCCGAGTTCAACTGTCCAGGGAACCTTAGGCAGCATGTCACACCACTCATGGTTGCGGATATCAAATGGTTCAGGTCACCAACTGTAAACAGATATACAATTAAGTAAAACTAGAACCGGGCGCTATAAGACTACTTGTGTTACTTGCAACATTATTCAAAAGAATTAGATTGTCACTCACAGCTTGGGGTGCTGAGCTTTAGGGTCCTGAAGCAAATGTCATAAAGTGCCTCGTTGTCAAGAACCATGCATTCATCGGCGTTCTCAACCAGCTGGTGCACCGAAAGAGTGGCATTGTATGGTTCCACAACGGTGTCTGAGACCTTCGGTGAAGGGAAAACGGAGAATGTGAGCATCATCCTATCAGGGTATTCCTCCCTGATCTTTGATATGAGAAGGGTTCCCATTCCAGAACCAGTTCCTCCTCCAAGAGAGTGGCACACCTGAAAACCTGCCCCGCATAAAAAAAGATGTCAATCGGCATATTAAACAAAAATGGAAATGGGCAAGTGAGGTTTGAGAATTTTATACGAACAAGGATCCAACATACAACCACAGATCCTCACAATAACAAATCAATGATATAAGTCCCTATAACCCAAACGAATATAAGCTAAATGTTCCCACGTAAATACAAATCACTAATCCTCAAACAATTAAGCATGTTACAGAAAAGGGTTGAAAATTTTCTTACGGCCATCTCAGATTTACTGCAATAGTTAATTTGCTAAAAGAACCGGAATGAGATCCACTCCGGACCTCAGAGAGATACGGACTGTTCAAGAGAGCTCAAATTTTTTAGGTTTTGTGAATCAGGCTAGTGGGATGGGTTAATAAGAATCATATGATTGAAATTAAGTGGCTCTAATCTCTCGGTCCACGGACTTAGAATACAGAGATCCGCAGTGAATCTCAATCCAAAAGAACCAAACACAACGTCGGTGTGGTAACATATTGACTGTTGGCAAATCACGATCATGCAAAAAAAAGTACAGATTCTTCATCTCTCCACTGAAGAACAAAAAACAAGGGGGACCACAAGCAAAATCAGCCATATAAAGACAAATTATATACATATATAATATATATGCGAGAAGAAGTACAGTTAACCACATGGCGGTGCTAGGAAAGCTGACGACGAATATATCAGATCCACAACCAAACAAAAAGTAAAGGACAAGATTAGAGTTTTGGACGAAGGATCTGACGATCCTAGCTTTGCAATGAGGTTATTGTTAAATATGTAATTAACAACGCTAATGAAAACGGTAATCAACTGAATCTTCAAGCGTCAATGTTTATAATCTCGCAGAAAATCAATTCCAATTCAGAAGCATTTTGAAATCGGATTATCAAATCTTAAACGACGAACTCATAGAGCAACAGAAACAGTAATCAACTGAATAATCAATCAAGCATCAATACATTCAATGTAGCAGAAATTCAAATCCGATTGAGGAGCATTTTCATCTCATAATTCATGTCGAAATTCAAAGAAATTTTACCTTGAAGGCAATCACAATTCTCGGCTTCCTTGCGAACAACATCGAGAACGGAATCGATCAACTCAGCTCCTTCGGTATAATGTCCTTTCGCCCAGTTGTTGCCGGCGCCGGACTGGCCGAAGACGAAGTTGTCAGGGCGGAAGATCTGGCCGAAGGGGCCGGATCGGATGCTGTCCATGGTACCGGGCTCAAGATCCATGAGGACGGCGCGGGGGACGTACCTCCCGCCGGAGGCCTCATTGTAGTAGACGTTGATCCTCTCGAGCTGGAGATCGGAGCCGGCGTCTCCGCGGTACCTTCCGGTAGGATCAACGCCGTGCTCGTCGCAGATGACCTCCCAGAACTTGGAGCCGATCTGGTTGCCGCATTGGCCTCCCTGGATGTGCAGGATCTCTCTCATTGTCGCGACGGAGGTGCCGGAAACGAAGCGAGATCTGCCGCTGCGCTTACAAGGGGTTTTGGGAGGAACGGCGAGAGGAGGGAGAGAGACGAAGACACAGGAGAGAGTGTGTCCGAAGTCGGTGTTATGAAGGGGAAGGGGAGGAGAGAGAGAATCGGAGGTTAGGAAGGTAAATAACGGGCGGTGGGATATTTTTTTTTAATCAATGAGTCCGTTGGTTGTCGTGTGTGTGACAGCCAGACAGAGAGAGTAAGAACAAACCAACTACTTTCTCTCTCTTCCTTCACTCCGTCGCTCTGGCGGGCATGGGGTGCACGTTAATTCGGTGATCCCATCCACCCGCCCGCCAAAAAGTTTTCCCGCGGGAAACGGTGTTAGAATTTAACCGTTAATAATGAGGTTTATCCGTTGAAATCGACTGTATCATTGAGAAAAGCGACATTTAATCCGTTGATTTCCTTTTTACTGTCATAGGACTGTGTTTGGGCGGACCAAAAAATTGTTTGGTAGTTTCCAAACAAGGGCGAAAAGGTTGACCATCTAGGACTGCCCAAATGTATTTTAACATGTGTTAGTGTACATCATATATTAAAAAGAAAATGTAAATATTTAATATTAATGTGCTGGAAAGGAACTCATTTTAATTTTTCGCACTGGGCCACCAAAAACTCGAGGCCCTTCATTGATGTACATGTATTACGCTGTTAAATTGTATGATCCATCACGTAAGATGGTTTTATTTAAAACATTTAAATGTCCAGTTGAGTAGTGTATAGCGCATTGTTAAAAATAAAAATAAAAACTCGAAATTTTAGTATCTTTTTGTATATCTTTTGAGATTTTAATGATTATCGTATACTAGCAACGGTACACTAATGCCAGGAGGATCCTTGCTGGATTCTCTTTGTGAGGATTCTAGGGATTCTCTAATCATATTCATTCATCGTATATCGTACGATTAAAAATCATTGTAAAATTTTTTTATTTAAAATTAAATATAAACAGTATCTGATAAAAACTAACCGCACGATGTAAAATGAAGAGATGTGATAGAAGGATTCTCGAAATCCTCACAAAGAAGATCCGGCGAGGATCCTCTCTCACACTAATGCACCATTGTACCCATTCTGCTCGTTGCTACCAATTTCTCAATTTAGTTGTGCGATCAGAGAAACTGCTCAGACGGCTCAATCATTGTCCTCCATAATCCATATGTAATCTTTTCGCAACATATACATTGACAATCCGACAAATAATAATAATATTTAGTCTGAAAATCCATGTGTTGGGATCCAAATCCGACAATTTCAATTATATCCCCGATTTAGATCTTTAGACAATTTCCATGTGCCGTGCACGTAACTAAGATGCATGAAATTTTCTAAAATCTAACACAGGAAAAAGTAGGCAATTATAAAAGTTCAGGCGAGTAATCAGCTAAAATTAAAGTTCAGAAAAAAAAATCGGCAACTCCTTACAAGTTCAGAAAGAAATCGGCGAATACCTCATTTCCAATATACCCGTCTCAGATCCTGACAAAATATTTTAGTATTTTGAAGCATTTGGACTCTTACTAGATCTTGATCTGAGACGGCAAAGATTTCCAGATTAGAGTAATCATCGCTCCATTTCTCAGTTACTAAGACAAGTGACTATTTTCCCCATCCAAGCTCATGCCCAAGAACCAAAAGAGTTCAAAGCGATTACAAAAATTTACATGATTCGATTGGTGACGGACACGATGATACCGAACACTAACCGCGGCAATCTATGACACCCTAGTGCTGCGGTGGAGGCTCGTTGCAGTGCTTCTTGAAGTTCACAGCCTCGTCTGTCAAATAGTCGCTGAAAAGTGATCCCCGTCACTGATATTGTTCAGATGCAAAAGTGGTGAATGAGTGATAACAATTTACAAAGGAACTCACCAAATTCGCTCGGCCATATGAGGTAATTCCCATCTAGGGCTCCAAGGAAATTCCGTTAGAGGAAGTGACTTGATCGGCACACCATGGTGGTTGAAATGCTACATCATTACGAGAATATAACCCCGTCAATCAAGAGTTTCATTTCAACTAGAAAACATGTATATGAAGACAATAATTGAAACAAACTGCACGTGTGCAGCAGCAGATATTCGTGATGAACTAGCCATATATATGGTTTAGTTTTGCTGTAATCATTAATGCATAGATTCGGATAATTATCCTTGCCTGTGAACTTTGAAGCATCAAAGAAGGCCTTTGCTTTGGAAACTGAGTTGAAATCAAAACATGAACCTATACAAAACAAAACGATCAGGAGCTTGGTCGCTTGAAAAGGGAAGATTAACTAGAGTGCAGTACCCAACTGTAGACATAAAACAACTGAAAATAGAACAAAAGTACCACCAGATAATGCGCAATAACAAAATAGAATGTCAAACTCTTGCTATTGACAGCAATAAACGACACGGAATCCATGTGAATTACTGCTAGATTAGTCAAAAAGCTTATAAGAAAGGTAGAAACAAAATATTATAGATCAAATGAGTTCTTAATTCTTAATCAATGACCCAGCACATGCTTTAGCTTAAAGGAATATTCCATACAAAGATGATACAGTGATGACCATATATACCAAGAACGTGAAAACTCCAGAAGCGGCAAGGAACGTTGCCTTTCTGCATAAGACCTGCCCAATTAGATATGAAAAATTAGTCTTAATGTTTCAAGAACTTTGCAGAGAGAAATACATGCCTAGGATGCCTACCGAATCAGCTTCCACTGGTCTTCCAAACTGAAGGGCTAATGCCTCGATGAAGCGCCTTCTAACATCAACCAAGGAGACTGCCTCCAAAACCTTAGTAACAAGACAATATATTCTTACAAATATGAAATATTTTGAATGTGAAAGCGCAAAATATAAACTCAAATGCAGCTGACCTGTTTCTCAAGGGATTCTTCAAGATGGGGAAGATATTCAGCCATGCACCTTTCAAGAGTAAGAAAAAGAAAAATGAAATCCATAACGAACCAATAATAGTAGAGTATAAAGGACTAAGAATTTATAATTCAGAGGACTTAGACATACATTCCATTCAACCATGGAGGAAGTTTGACTTCATCAATGGAAAATAGAGTCTTCAACTCTGAGGTAGACACTAGTTTCAAGCGAGGAGCTGATGGAGTGGAAACAAATTTTTTCTCAACAGGATATACAATCTGCACAGCCCAAAATACACATCATTGAACACGATGTCCTGGATGAAAAGAAAAAAATGGGGGAAAAAGAATTCAAACTTTTTGGGGGGGGGGGGGTGGGTAACAGAGGGAAAGAGGAATCTCAACCTGCAAGTATATCTTCTGTTGATGTCTCCAGGGGTACACAGGCACCATCTTATTTATGTTCACGTCCAATAGAGGAACTGCAAATTTGACCTCCTCTGGCTACGCTAAAATTCAGAGGCATAAGGACCACATTTATAATCAGAAGCTACACAGCCAAGTTCTCTTCAACACTGATCTTTCGATAGAGCCAATAACAAAAGTTGAACATGTTTTTTACCCAATCATAAATACCTTGTCAACTCCGGAACTCATCTGCATCTCAATGCCCTGAAGCAAAGTGTAAGGATTTAATAGCTAAGAAATATTTCATTAAATTAGATATTCATGAAAATGTTCCTCCTAGTTCATCCCTCACACGCAAACAGACGTCTAGTAATATACAAAGAGTTTTAATTTTGAATTTCTCATGGTTGTTTGAAACATTACCTCGCGAGCAACAATTGTGCTAATTTCAAACTTCAACCTGTCGTCATCAACTTCAGCAACACGCTTCTTCTGGTAGGACATGTATTGATCCCTTTAAAATAGAACAACATTATTTCATTGAAAATTATGAGACTAGTTAACTAAATTATTCCCAAAAGAAATACAAAACTCCAAAGAAAATGTACAATCGAAAAATCCATCACCTCAGTTCATGAATGAGAAGCATAAGCTGTGTCGGGTCTCTGCTGTTCCAATCACTCAAACACTTCATGTGAAACTTTGAGTCCCCTTCTCCTTCATCGCGCGATACAAGAAACTGCTGAAATTTCTCATCATCAGGTCCGAATATAACATCGGGTGCAGAGAACGGAGACTCCGAATCAAATACAACATCCCCTGCAACAAATCAAAACCCCACATTCTTAGCAATCGAAAACAATCAGTACTACATGAAACTACTTATTACAACAATCCACTCACATTTGATAACGTCTAGACAGTAGGAAATGACTAAGGTGAACCGGTCGAGAAATCCCGGGTAGTACTTGCTGCCAGACCACTTGTTCTCAATCTGCAAAGCAAAATTGATCATGTAAAATGTCCTAAAAAAATATTTTTGACAAAACCCTAGAGTGTACAGCAGCTCAGAGAAATCAGCTGATCATGCAACAAATGAAAACCCACGAACCCTAGATTGTTTTCGATTCCAAGAAAATGCCTCAGTAAACTATTACCGTCGGGGATGAATGAAATGAAATGAAATTTTGGAGTTAAATTTTCTCCGCTATTTGTTTTTGCAAAACTGGAAATGAAGCGGAGATGTTGGGTTTGGGAGGCATTACCTTGACGACGAGAGGGAAGTGAGTGAGGAGATAGTTGAGCTGGGCGGCGACGAGCGGCGGAACACTCTCCGACGACATGGTTGTCGCAGAGCGAAGAGACTGAGAATTAAGATTTTGTGGAAGTGAAATTCACCACCTGAACTGAATCATAGAGAAGGGGAGAGCTAAACGGCGCCGTACAGTGCAGCATTACCAACACCATCCAGGTAAGATGCAACATTAGGCATCTACCTAATCATTGAAAGATACTAATGAGTGGTTGAGATTTATTCAAATAAGATTTAATTAAATCTCAACCTCTCATTTATGAAAAATGAAAACTAATAAAAAAGGTTTGAAAATTTTGAATTTTAATGATAAAGATAAAATAAAAGTATTACGATTAACTTTTTAATGTTAAAATGTAATTTTTTGTTAAAATAAATAATAACGAAAATTTTTCATTAAAATTTTATTGTGAAAAATGATGTGCGACCGAAAATCATGCCACATTATAGTCCTATACTGTATTCCAATGTGGATATTGAACCAGCCCAGTAAGGACAGAATTGCGAGTCCAGATCCAAATAAAAGGGCAAAACCGGCAAGGTGAAAGTATGAAAACCCTAATAAAGTTTCAGTATCCGTCCTTTAAATCGTCACGCTGCGGCCTCCGCTTCTCCAACCGAAAACTCCAGAGCCTCTTTTCCCTTCTTCCCCATTCTGTTTTTCTTTCTTTTTTTTTTTTTTTGATTAGTATTTGTGGAAAATTAGTAGGAAATCAGATGATGAATTTGGATTAATCATCTCACGACGGTCGTCTGAGACTCAGTGTCGAAGCTGAAACGATCCTTTGCTTCTGATGGTTTCTAAATCTGTAATCTTTTTTTTTTTTTTCTTTTAATTTTTCTTATTATTTTTGTATGAATTCGTCTTAGTTTTTCACTTTGATTTTATTGAGAAATTAAAATTAATTACTTTAACCCGCCATTGCTTTTGCTTGTGAACTTATATTTAGATTAATGTATTTTTAAAATATGAAATCTTTGAGTTTTTTTATTTTTTTATTTATTTTTTGGTAAATTGAAGAGGCACGATGAGGAGTAATTATAGTAGTGGTATGAGATTTCATATATCGATGACTAATAATTTTAGTCCTTTTCATTCTGAGTGCCTTTATCCTTCTTTTTGTATTTTTAAACGAATTGCGGGAAATTTTAATTTCTTGGTCAAGAACCCTAATGTAGCTTCTTCAGCGAGAAATATATGATTGTAAATTTAATCAAGATGTTTCATCTCCAATTTCAGATCAATGAGCCTAGAGTCGAGTTTACATATAATTATGCTCATCTTGCTTATGTAAAAAGTGCTTCTATTCGGAAGTGTTTTGTTGCTGTAAGTGTTAAAAATTGAAGTGTTATTTTTTTTACATAAAAGTATTTGAATGCGTTTTTTATAACTTTGGAAATATTTTTAAGAAAAGTTTTATTTGAACTCAGTTATCTTATATCTACGTTCAGCTCTTCATATGGCTTATTAAGTCTTATTGGTTCCCTAGTCTATTTTGTGACACATCATTCTCCACCACGTACTTCTTCTAACCCTCATATCTAAATTACAATACCTCATTACCTAATACATAGAATATAAAAAGAATTACAATAAATTGTTTAGCTCACAAACCGTTGTTTCATAGCACATAAAAGTTCTAATTAAGCATACAAAATAAATAATACAAATCATTATTTCATAGCATATATAAGGTTTAGAGAAATTCTAACTCCTCAATACTCTGAGTTCCCTAGTCTATTTTGTGGATTAAATGAATTCTTGGATAGACATTATTTGTAAAGAATGGTTGGTTGTTTCTTTTTTTCTTTCTTTGAAATGGGTGAGAAATGATTGGTTTAGTAATTTCAAATTGGAAGCGTTGGCAAAAGGGTTGGTTTGTGCAAGAAGGGGAGGGATGAGGCATTTTATATAAAAATGCTAGTGAAGAGGTTAAATTTTAGTTTAGTTGGAATCTCTCTTCATTGAGAGAAGTTTAAGGTAATAATAGTTAGTAATATCCTATATGACCCATGCAGAATAAATTTTCTAACTTCTTAATACTCTTTGAATGATAAATTTAAGATAATGATAGCTAGTAATAAGTTTAGTTTGAATCTCTCTTCATCATGCATGACAAATTTATTATTGGAAATTCTAACTCTTCAATACTTTTTGAGTTCTCTGGTCTATTTATTGGATCTTCAATGAACTCTTGAATAAACATTATTTGTAGAGAATGGTTGGTTGTGTTTTTTTTCTTTCTTTAATAGGAAAGAAATGTTTGATTTAGTGATTTCAAATTGTAAGTGTTGGCCAAAGCGTTGGCTCTGTACAAGAATGGAGGGATGGAGGTTTTATATAAGAATGTTAGCGAAGAGGTTGCATTTAGTTAACATTCTTATATAAAGCCTCCCATCTCTCCACTTCTTGTACAGAACCAACCCTTTGCCAATGCTTCCAATTTGAAGTCACTAAACCAACCATTTCTCTCCCATTTCAAATAAAGAAAAAAAAAAACAACAATCATTCTCTACCAATAATGTCTATCCAAGAGTTCATTCAAGATCCTTAAAATAGACTAAGGAATTCAAAGAGTAATGAGTAGTTCGAAGTTCCAATAATAAATCTGTCATGCATGATGAAGAGAGATTCCAACTAAACTTATTACTAGTTGTCATTACCTTAAATCTGTCATTCAAAGAGTATTGAGGAGTTAGAACATTTCTTCTGCATGGGTTATATAGCTTATTACTGGCTGTCATTACCTTAAACCTTTAATAATTCTCTAATGCATGATGAAGAGAGATTTTAATTAAACTAAATGGAACTTCTTCACTAACATTCTTATATAAATTCTCATCCCTCCACTTCTTGCACAGAACCAACCCTTTGGCCAACGTTTCCAATTTGAAATCACTAAACCAACCACTTCTCTCCTATCTCAAAGAAAGGAAAAAAAAGCCTCCAACCATTCTTTACAAATAATGTCTATCCAAGAGTTCATTTAAGATCCACAAAATAGACTAGGAACTCAAAGAATATCGAGGAATTAGAATTTCCCTAAACCCTATATATGCTTGAAATAATGGTTTGTATTATTTATTTTGTATGCTTCATTAGAACTTTTATGTACTATGAAACAACAATTTGTAAGTTGAACACTTTCTTGTAATTCTTCTTATATTGTAAGTATAATGTTTTAGATAATGAAGTATGTATTGATTATTATACATGCTTTGTAATTTGGATTTGGATATTTTCCCCCTGGGTATGATGGTCAGAAGAAGTACAGTGGTGGAGAATGATCTGTCATCTCTTTTGTAGCAATCCATGTCTCGGCAGCAAGCCTTCTTCCCATCTATATGGAGGGAGTGTTCACAATCACATGTCAATATTTTAAGAGGCGAGACTTTGATTTGAAGGCCCTGATCAAACTTCTATTCCTCCTATCAAAGTGTAAGATCCCTCTCATTTAATATCACTATTTGTGTAAGTATTTTACGATTACGAAGCCATTGCCCTTACAAATTGTGTATTCTCGATGTTTCTCAATATCTCTATCAATTCGAAAATTCAGGATTTGAATTCATGTCCTTTAATTGAATCCTTCTACATTGAATTGATTTATCCTAAAGATTTCATTTCATTTGGAATTTAGTTATTCACCATGTAAGAGGATCGCTGCTAAGCATCCATGACTGAATGGTTAAAGCGCTCAACTCATAATTGTCCCACGTATCTATACTGTCATTGTGCATTTTATGGAACCTTTTCTTAGCAAAGCTTTTTCTTTTCTTTCTAAGTTGAAAGTATTACAGTTGTGGAAATCGTTTAGAGAAAATATTGTTGTTATCCAAAAAGAACAGAGAAAAAAGTACAGCGAGTCTGCAATACAACGATTTATGCCCCACCATCTCCTCTGAATTCTACCTGTTTGGTCATGTTTTCACATTTTAGGTGATGGAGCATCCTCAAACCGTTTAATTAAGGTGGTGCAGGCAAATAATTCTTTCCAAGAGTCTGTTGTTAACAAGTCCCACCCCTCAAAGACAATTCGGCAGTGGAGGGATCTTCAAGAGTACATAAATGTGATGTACAATGGCAAACTGCTAATGGTTAGTGAATGTGTATTTCAAGTTCTCTATTTAAGTATTTAATGTTTAGTTCTAGAGTGACGCAAATGACAACAAAATATTCTCCTGAGTTCATTAACAAGTAAGCTTGTTAGAAACCCTTGTTGCATGAAAGCCTTAGCGGCCCTCATTTATAATTTTAGCGGAGAAGACTTCTTATCAATTTGTTGGACATGAAACAAATGCTTGCAATATGAGAAAAAAGCTTCCATGTCAGTGTCCATTTAGAAGAGATAGCAACAAGGTTTACTAGCAAGCTGACTTGTTAGTTTTAATAATTTATGCAAGTAGTCAACTCCCAAATAATGGTTCAAACAAGCAAATATATCAGCCGAAAATCTACGCTGAAATTTTAAATGAGGGCTGATAAGGGTTTTTAGCAAGTTGACTCGTTGATGAACTCGAAAAAATATTTTGCTGTTATTTGGGTGGATTTTGGCGGAAATAATATAGGAGTGCATTGGTGTGCCAGTTTTGAAGTTATAGGATGTAGAGATAAAAACACAAACTTTTATTTTTATTTATTTTCTTATTCTTTTATTAAAAAGGGTTATTTCAATCGAACTTGTTCGTGTAAGAGAGAGAAAAAAGAGTGATGAAATATAACGAACATGACCAGAAGATACTACACCAGTGCTCTACGAAACTGTTGATGGGCTTGGCCAGATGTGGTTGACCTGGATGGGCTCATAGGGTCCAAATATCTAACTTGTTTGCAGTTGGATGAATGATAATAACACTTGTCAGATCGCAACGGTCTTGATTTAAAGATGTTTCTAAAGCACCATTACGGTTTTTTTTTTGGGTTGGAAGAGCTGTTATGATGTAGTTTTAATCGTTTGACAAATATTTTTAGTCTTGTAGATTTGCTTAGACCATCTCTCATATTGTTGCGTTAATCAAGGAAGCAGTACCAAATAAACCTCTAGAAAAATCATAAGTGGTCCAAACTGTTATTCTACGTACTTGTAAAGAACTCAAACTTGACAACAGTATGATAATACAATATGATGACAAGCGTTGCGGTTGTTATTGATCTTCATATGATATGGAATCGTGAGATTTAGTAGGTACGGGCTTCTAACAATCTCACTAATAAAAAATTAATGTTTCTCGCAACAGATTTTATGCCACCTGAAAGCTTGGTATTGGTTAATCGGCTGAAAATCGTTTCATTGTTATCTAATCATGGTGAGTAGGATGCCCCATGGGTCTAGGACTCTAGATTCTAGAACCAAGCTCAACCTGAGAATGACAAATATACATGGAGAACCAATCAAATTGTGACAAATGTCGATAACTAGTTGTTTAAAGTTAAAATATATCATAGGATCATAATGTCCATTTATTATATATCGTGCGGTTATAAATTATTTTAATTTTTTTTATTTAAAAATTGAACACAAACAGTACCTGATAAAAACGGATCCCACGATCTACAATGAACAAATACGATTTACGGATCGTCATAATCCTCACAAGGAGGATTCGGAAAGAACCCTGTTGGATGGGGAAGTAAACGCAACGTAAGTAATAGTTCGATACAACGTGGCCAAAAACAAGAAGCCGAAAGGAACATGTCGAAATCGTGGTTCAAACTTCAAACTTGGAAACCGACTTGTTGTCCAACGCTGCAACAAGCATCTTAAAAAAATCTTTTCCTCCTGCCTGAATGTTTCATGCACTTGTAATAATTAAATCCTTCTTGATCATCAAATCGTTGACAAATCAAATATTGACTTGAAGACCACAGTGGTTCTAGTTCAAGATTGTCATATTTCATTTAACAACCCAACATTTTTACACTAAAGACATCCACACAACATAATTCAAAAGTTTTAATGTGTGATTTTTTTATACTATCCCGATACTCATCTGGTGTGGTTCATTGCACAAGGTGAGATAGTCGTCAGTGTTGCTTGACTTTATCATTATTCACATGAGATTGCATACAGGGGCGGATGTACTTTGGAACCATTCAAAGTTTGGGAAATGTAGATGCGAAGACTATTTGAGGACTCTTTGAATGTTTGATATGTGTACATTATTTTACCACCAAGTGTTTGATGTAATGTCTACTAGGCATATCTTAATGGGTTGCGTCAACAATACTCAACAAATTTTCTTGACATCACTCATTAGATTGCTTCGACATGTGTTGATATTTGATGACATGTGTGCAGTATAGTTTGGCTAACGATAACAAGCCCACCAAGTATTCCATGAAATGCCTCAGTAAATAAACTTACTTTTTTATTTTTTGTGCGCTTCAAGTCTTGTTTCTATTTCAAAAACTTGAACATTTAACATTGGAACCCCCAAAGTTCAAATCATGAATCTGTCACTGACTGCATAGAGCTACGTAGAACCAAAATACATGAAATCATTGTTTTTGTGAGAAATGTCTTCCTAGTTATTTGTTCTTCCATCTCTACACAAGTTTTTATGACATTTTCGAGTCTAATTATTTTCGATTTTGACACATTTAGTTGACAAGATTGAGGGAAGTAAGGAATTGGAGAACATGAAACCAATTCGTTTTCCAACTATGAATTTCCTTTCTTTCTAATATCCCTTCATTGATTTATTAAAAAATACAGTCATAAAATAAGATCATCTTTAAATCTCGTAATTCGAAACTGACGTTGAAAAAATTCGGATAACTCATTTTAAATTTTACAACACCCATTAACCTGTTACATGAACCTACCTTACACAAACAAAAAACCTAAATCTCTTTCGCCCCCTCTCTTGAACAGTCCAGATATTTTGTTCCGTTGATTTGAGTTGCGAGATTAGGACAGGATCTGAATTGGTAAACGAAAAAGATGGCAATGACACGTCAGGCGAGACAAAGAGGAAAAAGAGGCAGACAAAGTAGGCGGGGACTTTGACATTTCCATGTTATTTTTCCCTCCACCACCCAATCACGCATTCATTCATTCATAATATCAAATTTAAAATTCAAATTTTCGTAGTATCAACTGCTAATCCACATTTCATACCCAAAGATTTCCCAAAATTCAAATCCAATTCTCGCAATTTCATACCAGTCAAGATATTCCCAATTTTCACACGAGATTTCCGGTTTTCCTAATTACGCGTTTAGTCCCGTAGAAAATTCTCACCATTTCTTTTTTCAGTCAAACATATTAACTCTAGAATTTCTACTCTCCTTCCTTTTCAACTCTCTGCATTTGTTTTCTTGATTGATAAACGGTGTTTGGTTGCTGAGAAAATTACTGGGTTCTCAAGGATCATCTCTGCAAAAAGGTATGTTGGTTGGTTGGTTCATGTTTTTTATTTGTTTGTATGTGTTTGGTTGCCGAGAAAACTAAGAAGGAAATCAGAGCTTGTGAACTGAGTTTTGTTTGCTTATTCAGGTGTAATTGGAAAGCTCTTGTGGGTTTTTTGAATTGGGGCAAACGATGGGTGGGGTGTGCTCGGGCGGGGTGTCTGGTATGGAAAATCCCGATCACGGCGGAGGGAAAAGTGCTGGATTTTCCGGGAAACTCAGGTCGGTGAAGAGCATCGGCAAGAACAAGGAGAATTCTAGTCCTTCATTTTCCGAAGGAATTGCTCCGCGGAAAACACCGAACAGGTTTGATTCCGGCGAGCTGCAGTCTTCAGTTTCCCGCGAATTGAAGCCCTCAACTCCGGCTAGGACTGCTATTAGCAAGGTATCGATTGCTTTAGTTTTGTACTGGAACGGTTTAGGGAAATACTAACTTGGAAAATGTTGGAAGCACTTCTGCCTAGAAGTGATTTTGGTATAATCATGTCGAGATTTTTATTAAAAACCCAAGTACTTCCCGGAAAAAACACTTGGAAGTACTTTCTCAATGCTTATCCATAAGCCGCCTCTTACGACCCATATATGCTTTTAAGTTTTGATGTCAAATGTAGTGATAAGAGCTGTTGGTTGTCAGATAACACTTTTAGTCACTTAAGTAGAAGCACTCTTGAAAAAACTTTTATATTTGTGGCATTATTGCTTTAATGTTGTGTTTTCTATGGTAGGTTACCCCGAAGAACTCGTTCATAGGAAAGGCTGGCATTGTTGGCCTGGAGAGGGCAGTAGATGTTTTGGATACGCTCGGAAGTAGCATGTCGAATTTGACTGTCAATAGCGGATTTCTTGCTGGCGGGGTGTCTAGAGGCAATAGGATCTCTATATTGTCGTTTGAAGTAGCTAATACAATCACCAAAGGTGCAAACTTGCTCCAATCTCTATCAGACGAAAACGTCCAGTTTCTAAAGAAAGATGTTCTACATTCGGAAGCTGTACAAAAATTAGTTTCTAAAGATATGAAGGAGTTGCTACGCATTGCCGCTTCTGACAAAAGGTGGTTGTTGTGTAGAGAAGAGGTTGAATTTAGTTGAAGCTATTCATTGCCTTCTGTTATGTTACCCTTTTTTTTTGCATGCGCGTCTGTAGGGAAGAGCTTGATGTTTTCGCACGTGAAGTAATAAGGTTTGGAGACTTGTGTAAAGATCCACAGTGGCATAGCCTGGGTCGATACTTGTCAAGGTGGGTTGATTTGTGAGAATTATGCTGCTGCGATTATATTGATGAATTTCCGCCATTTTAATATCTTCTGTGAATTTGAATTTCAGACTAGATTCAGATGATGATTTAGGGTACGAACAACTAAGATCAGAGGTAGACATGACGATGCAGGAATTGACCACTCTTGCTCAGCATACTTCTGTAAGTTGGAGATTCATAACAACCAACAATTTGTATATATTGAAGTCGACTTGAAGAGACTAATTTTATCGACATTTGTAGGAATTATACCATGAGTTAAATGCATTGGACAGATTTGAACAAGATTACCGGAGAAAGGTGGAGGAAGCAAAAACCTTGCATCTCCCTCCAAGAGGTTCGTCGATTTTTGTTTTTGGTTTGCTTTCTGTTTTGGGGCTTCAGCGAGTGCCATCCTTTGAGTATTTGAATAGTCTAGTTTATAACATCGAAAGACATTTATGGATGCTTTTTTTCTTTGTATTTTCAGGAGAGACTCTGATGATGTTGTTAAGTGATGTAAAACAACAAAGAAAGATTGTAAGAAGCTTGAAAAAGAAATCTCTTTGGTCTAAAAATTTGGATCAGGTACCATCGTCAAACACTTTTCAAATTGCATAATTCTTTCCTACCATTTGCTAAAATTATTCAAAACAATGCACAGCGATAGTTCATTATTTGCCTTCAACGGGGCACAAAAGGATTTCATTAGTATTCATCTTCCCTTATTGCTATCACATTGTATTTTTCTTTGCAGATTGTCGAGAAACTTGTTGATATTGTTACTTATACACATCAAGCAATCTTGGAAGCATTTGGACATAATGGTAGGAGCAGTCTCTCACTCCGAGAGCAAAAATTGATAACTGTATACATACGCCTTAGTGGATGTCAAGGAATTGTTCATAAGAGCTTTCTTCATCATGACTCAAACATAATGAACAACTTAAGCTTTCTATTTACAGGTCTGACTTTGGTTAGTGCGGACAAGAGCAAAGATCCTCAAAGACTAGGAGTAGCTGGTCTTGCGCTACACTACGCTAACATGATCAACCAAATTGATAACATTGTAAGCTTAATTCTCCATTTCCGTATATTGTGTGTCTCATATACTTGGTATGCATTTGCAAAATAAAATGTACTCATGAATGATTAATCCTAATAGGCGTCCCGACCAACCTCCCTCCCACCAAACACACGGGACACATTATATCAAGGTCTACCAATTACTGTTAAACAAGCTTTACGATCCCGATTGCAGACTCTTGATGCCAAGGAAGAGGTATCACAATGCATTTAACACACATTTGTCCATTATTTTATATTGTAGATTCGTCATTAGATTTTGGTTTTTTATCTTGGAGCTTCAGCATTCCAATCGTCTTATCCTTTTTTATGTTGCGCTTCTGCAGCTCTCTGTTCCTCGGGTCAAGGAAGAAATGGAAAAGACTCTCCATTGGCTTGTTCCAGTTTCCACAAATACGACCAAGTACGTTCTGTAGCATGCTAATCGGAAGTTCCTGTCAATGCTTTGCCCGTGTTTGTTTTCATTCTTTTGAATCAAGCTCAGCAAAGAAATTTATTACGCGTTGTCGTTACTGTCTTACTTCCACTAATCTCTGTTTTCCTGATGTTGCAATTTGTGGCAGAGCACATCAAGGCTTCGGGTGGGTTGGAGAATGGGCGAATTCTGGGTCAGTCAAGGCCCCTCTCTTGCGCTCTCTCAATATTTTCTAACGTCAATCGAAGCGATTAAGTTCAATTCTGACCGTGTTTTCTGTTTTACAGTCCTGAGTTTGGTAAGAACGGATCCTCACAAGTTAACCTGATCCGCCTCCAGACGCTATATCACGCAGACAAGCAGAAGACGGATCTCTACATCCTCGAACTAGTCACATGGCTTCACCATCTGATCAACCTTGTAAGACAAGGAGATCATGGCGTGAAGCCTTTGCATACGCGGTCTCCAACTCGTAAAGGGTTGGACATTCACTCCAACATGCAGCAGTTTCTAACCAAGACCTACGACACCAAGTCCCAAAAAGTCCAACTCTCGGAAGAAGACCGGAACCTGTTAGACGAGGTGATCGGGAGAATGAGAAGGGTTCCCGGGATCAGTAAGAGTCAGGAGTTTTCGATTGCCGAGAGGAAAAGAAGAGGAGTTTTGGCTTTGAGCAAGAGCACGGGGAGTTCCCCTTCAAGGGAGCTGGGTTCAAGGTGTAGAAACTTGCTTAAGCGAAAGAGTAATGCTTTGGATGTCATGGACGGCTTAGATTCAATATACTCAGAGTCTTCAGTTTCAAATTTTTTATAAATATTTATATTTCTCTGTATATAATCTTCAGATGATTAGGGTTATTGTATATATGTACCACCTATACAGAAATGGAGTTATTTTATGTAGCTCATGAGAGTGACTTATATACGGAAAAATTAATGTGATACTGAAATACGATTATGTGTTAATTAATGTTGTCTTATTGATATATAAGTAGTTTGTACTCATGGACTTCCTTGAAGTGTTGGAAGTGTTGGTCGATTAGTTAAGATCTAAAATGATAACAGTTCGAATGGAAATGCTATTAAAATGATTAAAATCATTTGGTTAAAATGTTTTTTTAAATGATTCTTAGTAAAATAGTAAGTGAATTTTGAAAAAACGCTTATTGCTTTGTGCAAATCACGTAACTAGTGTTTCTTACGTAAAATACTTTTAAATGGTTTTGGAAACATAAAACATTTTTTCTAAACGTTTTCAGTCATTTCTAAACAAACCCAAAGGTGTTTTAGGGCTTGTTTGGGGTGGCCTCTATAAGGATTAGAAGATAACCAAAAGTGCTTTTATCTATGTTTTAACAAAAAATAAAACATCTTAGAATTTTACCAAATCTTTTTACATGTTCATATCAAAACTTGAAGGCACTACTTACATAAATGGAATAGTTATTTGCGAACAATTATAAATAGAGAATTTTAACGAAAAAACTCTCGATACTGTTAATTTTAATGAAAAACTACATTTTTATACTAAGTAGTCAATCTTATACTATTCACTTTACCCTTTATTTTAACAAACATTTTTCATTAGTTTTCTTTTATAAAAAAATCTTCCTAGAAAGTAATTTAATAATCATTTTGTTTTCAATTTTATTAACTTTTTAAATTTGTGTTACTATTTTTTATAATTGTTTTTCATTTTGGAAAAGTTGTAACCGAAAGCCAAATTTAAAAATAATGAATGCTTATTTGTCAAAAAAGTTTTGCTACTGAATTTTGGTGTTTGGCGGCGTTTTAAGAAAGAAATAAAGAGATGGGGATCAGATGGTAAAAGAGGAGAGTGTCCAATTGTCGTAACAGGCTTTAGGGCGGACACCCATCTCTCGCATTTTAATTCGCGAATTATGACCACTCATCATATCCCGTTTCTGCCTGAAGGATCATGCTATTTGCTTCTGTTGTCCGGCCATTTTATCCACTCCGCTTCAACCAATCTTGTATTCCACCGTCGATGTGGGATTGCCTTCGTCCGCTCTCCCGCTCTTTGATTGTTCATCTTCCGCAGCCGGGTTTCTTCATAGGCTCAAACTCTGTAGCTTCATCTTCACATAGAGGATCAAACTTGAAATTAAAGAAACAGATTTTAATTTCATTGATTAATAATTACCAAAATTGATTTGTCATTGGAGACGGTTTAGCGGTACATGACTAATCACTATCAATATAGCTTCTAACTTAACCACTTGTGCTTGGTGTGAGGTTTTATTCAAAAGACTTTGATGCAAGTAGTAGTGGTTTCAATGTAAAGATATTTAACTTCAAGAGTCTTCCGATGTAAGACATACTAACGTAGGACCACATGAAGACATTTATTCATAATGAAGTGCTTTGAATAAGATCCGATCTTATCTCGACAGTAAAAACCCGTCATGATTCAAGTCACTTGTCGGATATTTGATTTCATAAGGTTAATTTTCAATATGAGACATGTTTCAAGATGGTCCAAACTCTACCGATTAATTACGAAGTTTTGTTTGGACCTGTTTAAGAGTTCATGATATGGGTCCAAACACAAATCCTCTTAAGTTGGACTCACAAATATGATGTTTACAAGTAGCCTAATTATCATATGTTGGCTGCTCAAGTATAAGTAGGATTCCTGCACAAAATTCTTTGTGTTTGAATTACAGAACTTTGTGTTTATGATTAAAATTGATCATATTATGAATCACTCCGTAAAGATCATCTCTGTAAATACATAGACAGTTCGTAATGCTTTTATCAATTCCATTCATCTGTTTTATATAGTTCGATGATTAAACTGCTTTTGTTTTAATCAAGTACTTGCAGAAACAATTTTTATAGAATGATTTATAAGATAAACTGTTATGATCATAAATACGAAGTTCTATGAATCTATAACAAACAGTTTTGAATAGAAATTCATACTCATCATCTGATTCTTCAATCGATCGAGCATATTCAAATCAAGTTATATTGGGACATGAAGTCAATTGAAATGAAGCGAGTACTTCACATGAGCCTCGAGTGCTTCACTTCGCTGAATTGCTGCCACCAATCATTTTACCCATCATTTGATTCTTCAATTAAATTTCTAACATGCAACGCTGCATCGCCCAAATTTCATTTGCGCCGCGAATACGGGGCGCATCGTCCGCACTTAGATCTCTGCTCTTGCCTGCTTAACGCTTAAAGAGAGAACAAATTAAGATTTAAAAAAGCAGAACTGCACACGTACTCAAAGGGAACAAAATTCAGAGAGTGTTAACCTGGTTTAAATTGTTTTGTGTTGTAATTTAGTAAACCGAGATAAACGTTGGATCTCCTCACGCGGACATGGCCCATGTGGGAAGGGAACTAGGGTTTCAGCTTGGAGATCACACAATTATGGCTTCCCTCTGAGTCACTACCACGTTGCGTTTGATGGGTACTTGGTTTATATACGTTGAATCTTTACCCATATTATGCGACAATACCAGAACATTATACTATACAATGAACCGCACAAAGTTAGACTTGGGAAACCAGTTGGTGGTTTTGTCACGGTAGTTTACTTTTTTGACAGCTAAAAGAACTCACGTAAGCATTTTAGCCTCTTCAAGGCTGTCTCTGAGATTTTGGGAACTTTGTGCAAAATTTGTAAAAGAGGACCTCCTTAAGATAGTTTTAAGTTTTAAAAAACGTATGACAATGTATTGATACTAGAAAACTTTCACTTAAATAAAAAAAAAAGCCACTTAGCACTACGGTCTAGTGGTATTCATCCTCACTTGAAAGTGAGAGGTCTTAGGTTCAATTATCGTCAAAGGCAAATTTGAACCACATTATTGTTAGCTCATTTTGAGGCTTAGCCCACTCCTCCACCCCCTTAGTATATATAATATTGTTTATTCAAAAATAAAAAAATAAAAACAAATTTTAGCACTTACTGCTTGCATGTTTACAAGTATCCTTAATGATAAATAAAAATATCTACAAACATAACCTTCACTAAATAATCAAAAGTAGTTTTGTCTTAAACAATCAAACATGAAAAATAAAAACTTCAAACCTCTAACTTTAAAGTTTTACTTTAACATATACCGTTGTTATATAATAAAATTAAGAAACTTTCGTTTTTGGGGTGATATTAAACACTCAAAATATCCCATTGTACTTCAAAATTTTATATTTAGAAAGAAGAAAAAAATCTTTAATATGGAGTGCACAATGCAGTTTTAAAGTACTAACAAAAACAATTTGTTTGAAATATAGAACATTATTACATAATATTAGATGGCAAAAATGTAGGGACTCCTTCAAATTTAGAATCCTATGTGATTGCACCTTTCACTCCTCCTCAACATCCCGTCTAAACCTCTCTTTAATCATTATTAGGTAATTTATCAACATCAGAAATCGAATATATAGCGTTAAACATAAAATTACGGCATAAGTTTATAAGCAGTCACATTCAGCATTTTCTGATGTGTCATTCTCGTCTTATCCTAGGAACCTTGAAACACGAACTTGGTCTTATCCTTATTGGAACTCTTGGTTACCTATGGATAAACCTAAATAAGATCGGTCACATTCGCTGATGGGACCACAGAGTTCCTAAATCCGACGTGGCGGGTTGGCATTGGTGGCCTTACTACTCTAATACCACCGTTCCTTCCTCATGGCGGTAACCCACGTGCCAAGTCGGCCGCCCGTCGTTTACACCGCTTTCGTGTTTCCGCTGCGGTGGGCCATCCCAGCTGTGCTTCCCTGTCCAGCGGTTGCCTCTCAACAAACCGCGTCAATAATTAATGGAAAGGGATCTTTTTTGCTAATCTATCAAATCAGAAAATTCATGTCGTTGAAATTTGATTCAACGACTACAAATAAAGACCAACTTTAAAAGTTATCATAACTTCAGTCATTTGATCAAATTTCAACGACGTTGATTCCCTGATTTGGTGGATTAAAAGAAAGGGATCCGGAAAGAATCGTTTTCCATAATTAATACTAGAAAATGCCACACGGTCTATGTGTGTGAAATAAAATTTTTTTTTTTCTCAAATATTGTTTTAAAAGAAAAAATCGGCAAGAGTTATGCAGGCATTAGATAAAAAACATAAAAAAATAAAAAAAAGTAGAAAGTGTTGGCAGTTATGTGGAGAGAGTGTGTCTAGAGGATAAGGATAAGGTGATATGGTTGTGAGGTTTAAAAAAAGGGCAAATGTTGTTTGTTTGAAATTACTTTAATGCCTCAATTTTTTTTCTTTTCTCACATTTTTTAGTTATGTATTAGAGGTTATAGTTGTAATTTCATTATTATTTTTTTATTGACAAAGTGAGTGCTATTAATATGTAGTTTTAATTAAAAACTAGATATTTACGTTTATTCTTTTTTTTTTTTTTTTTGTTGAGGAACTCGTTTATTCTCTATTTAGCTTCACAATTAATTGACTTTTTTGCTTTGTTTACTTGTTTTATATTAGGATTACGTTATTTTATTGAAATAATAATGGATCGAACCGTTATTGTACCCATAAGAATCTATTTGTTGGACTAAAATTATATTTATATTCCTTAATTGTTTTTCACTAATATTATTAGTTATTAGGTAACGAAAACAACTAAAGATTCTATGTATAAAACCACTTAACTATTTAATTAAATAAAAATATTGCGATGGAGAAATTATCTAGTTCTGTCTAAATAATTTGATTCACATTACGTAATTTCCTTAAAATGCAAATTTTATTTTTTCCACTGAGCGGACTTTTAGTATAAGAAGGGAGAATCTGTTTGCCTAAAATCCGAGCATTTTGTATAAATCCAAACTATCAAATAAGTCTTGTAGAAAGCAAATTTTATTTTTTTCACTGAGCGGACTTTTAGTATAAGAAGGGAGAACAATGCATATTTCGAGTCTTCTAGATGCATATTTTGATTCTTCTAGCGTCTTCTTTTTTTTTTTTTTTTTAAGATGTGATAGAACTTCATTGAGAGAGGGAATTAGATACAAAAGTCAACAAGGCAAAAAAAAACTTAACATACAAATTCCTCAACCAACAAATCATCTAAGAACAAAGGTTGATCAACATTCCAAACACAAGGAGCATCACTTTGAGCGAAGTGGTAGGCTACACTTTCCCTCTTTATAAACAAACACGCCCTTAAATAAAAGATTGACTTTAATACGAACAACGATTGTGTTGCAAGAACTATATGTAACAAAATAACGAGTTCACCTAATATAGAGCATAATATAACACGCACTAACAATTTTAATTGTTAAATTCTTGATTATTGAATCTTTGAGCACACCTCTCACTATTAATTCGCAAGACCCATACTATGGAGAGATTTTTTAATGTTACCGCAACACACGGTGATACACCACGTGCATAATTTATAAAAAAATTTTATAATGTGCTCAGAAGAATACTTGAAAATTAAAATTTTTCTCTACTTATATAATATATTATGACGTACCACGCTATGATTCAGTTTACGAAAAAATTTCTCCGGACTATGAGGTATGCAAATACTAGAATTTTCGCAAAAATTAAAAATGGAAAAGGTGTCACTCCATTATTGGTTAACCTATCAAGGTCCATGTAGGTCCAATGCATTGTTGCCATTTGTCAACCTCACACTACAAAATCTAGTCAAAAACCGAGTGAAACCCAACCCAAACCAAGACAGTTAAACCGTATATCTAATGGTAATGCCCATACCATGTGCCGTGTCAGATTTTGGACATTGGAATGGACACCGACGCCCCGCTGAGTCGGACACTCTCCCAAATGGATAAGGCCTCATATTTCGTTAACCCAACCCCCAACTTTTAACCACGGTTAACCGTGATTTGCATCTTATCCCCAACTTTCTATAAATCCCCAATCTCCCACTCCTTCGGCCACAGATCCGACTCCTTCCAATCAAAATTTCGAAGCAAACAACAACAATCTCAAAAATGGCTTCCATATCCTCCTCATCTTTCACTTGCCACTCCTCTCCTCTTTTCTCCGTCGCCAACGACGGCCCCCGCGCTCCTCCCTCCTCCGTCAGCTACCGGCCCCTCCGCGTCTCCGCCTCGTGCGCATCGACGGTTGAAAGGCCGCGACCCCGCATTGGATCAAGCTCCTCACTGTACGACGTGCTCGGGATTCACGCCGGCGCCACGTGCCAGGAGATCAAGTCGGCGTACCGCAAGTTAGCGAGAGTTTTGCACCCGGACGTTGCGAAATCATCCGCGGACGAGTTCATGAAAGTCCACGAGGCTTACTCCACTCTCTCCGACGCGCAAAAACGCGCCGATTACGACCGCAAGATGATGATCGGACGGCCGAGGACGGGCGTGGCTTCCTCTTACGCTTACGCGACAACAATGTCGTCGTCGACTAGCCGGAGATGGGAAACCGACCAGTGCTGGTAGATTTACAGACATTTCACTCTGAACATATTCCGATCTTCTGTAATTAAGCAAACCTAATTAAGCTAATTATATGGTTAATTAGTGTAATTAGGAAAGCCCGCTACGCGCCTGTCGTTCGGATCGGACGAAGTGCTGGCTAGTGTGTTCGCGTGTGCATATTGTAAGCTGCAGGCGCCATTTTTACAGCCTGAACAGCTAGGGGAAATTATATCCTCCACTTCCACGTCAGCTTGTAACGAAATATAAGATCTAATTTGAAGATGTGGATTGTATTCGATAATTTTTCGTCTTTTGAAATATAACATTAAAAGTTTAAGGTAAAATGCTTAATCCTTTACAAGTAGCAACTTGGCAAGTGATGCTCAACAAACCTCGGTAACACGCCTTGACAGTCGTCGATACTCGACAGAACACTTGAGCACCGTCGTTGAATCTCGACATCATGCCTCAGCGTCTCTCAAGAAATTTCGATAGCGTGCTGTAAACACGAAAAATTCCTGAAACAAGAGACAAGAACACGTGTACAAAATATATTTTTTGTATTAAAGATTTTGGGGTTACAATCTCTTTGTAATTTGGTCCTCTGATTCTATCTTCGTAGGGTGTAGGTTTGTGGATGAGTTGTTGATCCAAAGGGCCGTCGGGGCTTGATCTAAGGATGAACAGTTGATGAATGGATCTTCAAGGGGCGTTGGGCTTGATCTTGAAGAATGGGTGTATGAGTTTGTTGAGGTTGTTGATCCAAAGGGCCGTTGGAGCTTGATCTTAGGATGAACGGATAATGAATGATGAACACTTTCTTCAAGGGGCCGTCGGGGCTTGATCTTGAGTTGGTGGAAGTTCTTCAAGGGCCGTTGGGGCTTGATCTTGAAGGTTGATGGATGAGCGGATCTTCAAGGGCTTTTGGGCTTAATCTTGAAGAACGATTGGATGTGTGGATTTGTTGAGGTTGTTGATCCAAAGGGCCGTTGGGGCTTGATCTTAGGATGAACGGATGATGAGCGATGAACACTTTCTTCAAGGGCCGTCGGGGCTTGATCTTGAGTTGGTGGAAGTTCTTCAAGGGCCGTTGGGGCTTGATCTTGAAGGTTGATGGATGAGCGGATCTTCAAGGGCTTTTGGGCTTAATCTTGAAGAACGATTGGATGTGTGGATTTGTTGAGGTTGTTGATCCAAAGGGCCGTTGGGGCTTGATCTTAGGATGAACGGATGATGAGCGATGAACACTTTCTTCAAGGGCCGTCGGGGCTTGATCTTGAGTTGGTGGAAGTTCTTCAAGGGCCGTCGGGGCTTGATCTTGAATTGAACGGATGATGAACGATGAACACTTTCCTCAAGGGCCGTCGGGGCTTGATCTTGAGTTGGTGGAAGTTCTTCAAGGGCCGTCGGGGCTTGATCTTAAAGGTGGATTTGACGAAGAACGAAGATTGCTTTCTTGATCCTTCGGGATTTGCTTGAGAGCTTTAGAGTTTCAAGGCTTCTTCCTTTCTTCCTTCTTTCTTCCTTCTTTCTTCTTTTCTCCTTCTCCTTCCTTCTTTTCTTCTTTTCCTCTTCTTTCCTTGCCCTCAAAATGAATGCCTTGGCCTCCTATTTATAGAATTCCAAAACTTGATTTTTGGATTTAAATAATCAGATGAAATAAATCATTTCTGCCAGGTATTGACATGTGTCCTATTTGATGACTTTTCCAATTTATTTCGATTTTTCGTTGAGTCACACGCTACATGTAAAATTTATGTGATACGTGAGCGTTGAAATTTTAATTTTTGGTCAACATTTATTTCACCGAAATTTTGATGTCTACAAATGCCCCCACTTCAAGGCGTGTCGTAGACATGTGCTTGTCACGTGTAGAAGATGCGTTTTGAAGTCCCTTAATGTAGATGTCAACCCAAGGGCCGTCGAGGCTTGATCTTGAATTGGGCTGGAAATTTCTTCAAGGGCCATCGAGGCTTGATCTTGAGCTTGACTGGAAGATTTTCTGGTTTCCTCCAATCGTTGATTTTCCACAGGCTTAATCTTGAACTGTGCTGGAGGATTCTTTTGGTCTCCTCCGAAGGTCTGAACTTACTCCTTTTATCTGGAGTTGAATTTGATTCAAGGGTGGTGAACACTTGATTTTGAATCGGACTTGTGATTTCTTCAAGGGCCATCGAGGCTTGATCTTGAACTGGGCTGGAGGATTCTTTTGGTCTCCCCCTATCGTTGATTTTCCTTTGTGCTACTCTTGAACTGGGCAGCAGGATTCAGACACATGGCAGGCAAGCAGGAGGTGGAAGTGATGACCTGTTTCTTTGTTCAATCTTTCCCCAATTCGTATTGAAGAGGGTAGATCGGAAGACTGACTCCAAGTGCCGTCTGATTGCTCTTTTCACTTTGCCATGCAAGTAATAACAAGGACAAAGGAAAGGACATGGAGAAAGCATGATATAAGATACCTTTGCTTTTGAGGAAGCAGCGAATGAATCAGCACATATATTTGTTGTGTTTGTCTCCACATGCTTTGATGTATCATTTTCACTTGTCTTACTTGCTCCCTTTGCAGAAGTGGTATTTCCTTATGCAGGTTTGGCATCTTCTCGTGTAGTATTTGTCCTCTGATGCAGGAGTGGAATGCAACCTTTGCATTTAAATGGTGCTTCAAAACATTACTTCTCCGCGACGATGAGTACTCGAGAGCAATGCAAGGTAAGCAACCAGGCAAAGGTTCCAGGCAATCAGTTCCAGGTCGGAAGTTTGATTTCAGGTTCCGACTGATAACTCTATTTCCCCTTCTCCTGTATGTAAGAGCAAGGACAAAGAAAAGGACAGGGAAAAAGCATGATATGAGATACCTTTGCTTTCGCCCTTGATGATATGAGATACTTTTGCTTTTGAAGAAGCGGTGAATGAATCAGCACATGCTTCCATCTACCGTTTCCTCCTGGGTCATCTGTACTCCAGGCATCTGGTATCATCTTTGGGGAAGAGGAAAAAATTGAGTATTTTGAGATGTTTTGCTGGGAGTGTACTCTCGGAGGTGAGGAAGAGTTGGGCATTTTTTTTTTTTCACAGGTCTGCCTTGCCATAAAAGATGAAGGTCGACATATATAGGGATTTCCCAATAGCAAGTGGTGGTACTGTTCTTTTACCCTTGTCGACAAACGTTTTGATCCCGCAAATCCGGCTTTTTGAAATAGTGACGACTCTTCGATCTTTGAATACGCCTCTTTGATTTCTGAACGACGCCTCTTCGATTTCTGAACGAGTGCCTCTTTTGACAAAGCTGCACGCGTTTTCTGAAAAGCAGAGAAAGCGTCGCCGAAGTTTGCGCTTGTCAGCTAAAGATGTGTAGCTGCGATGATGACCTCCACGTGATCTTTTGACAAAGTGGCACCCGTGCTCTGAAAAGCCGCGAAAGCGTCGCCAGCCTCCACGTGTTTTCAACTTTGTCGGAGATCTTTTGACAAAGTTGAACGCGTTTTCTGGAAAGCCGAGAAAGCGTCGCCTATCTTACGCCGGAAAATCTAGCTTTTGAGATTTGCAGAGCGATGTCTCTTCATTTTTTGAACAAGCGGCCCTTCGATTTCTGAGCAAGCGCCTCTTCGTTTTTATAGAGGTATTGATCACCTCTAACATGCACACTTCGAAGGTTGCTCATTCCTGAAAATCATCTCCGGCCTTTTGAGTTTTAACTTCATCCACCCATCTCTTTTAACACCTTTGAAAAATGGCTAACCCATCGAACCTTAGCTTAGAATTGAGTCTTAGCAGTGATCCGGTTGCGCCGTGTCAAGGTAATGTATGGTGCCCGTCTTTCTTATCTTCTAACGGTCCTCTTACAGGTGAAGACTCAGTGATGCAGGATGCCACAACAGCTACAATAGTAGCTAGGAACCTCCTCACACCAAAAGATAGTAGGCTGCTTTCAGGACGGTCCGATGAGTTGGCCGTTCAAGAGTCCCTCGCTCTCAGTGTTCAGTGTGCGAGCTCTGTGTCTAACATGGGCCAACGCTTGCTTGCTCGGTCCCGTCAGGTGGAATCATTGATGGCAGAGGTGGAAGATCTTAAGCAGGAGATTAAACAGCTTAAGTACGAGAATAGAAGTTTGCATGTGCTTGCAAATAACTATTCGTCGGGCATGAAGAGGAAGCTTGATGAGATGCAAGAATCTCAAGGTCGCATTCAAAGTGACCGTCAAAGGCTTGCGTCTTTCTTCCAGAGACACCTTTTTCCTGCATCATCTAGCGTTCCACCAAGTATTGGGGCCTCGAATGATCTATCTTCTTCGGTGCCTCCTGCTCCTGGAGTTTGGCCAAGTAGTGGGGCTTCACGTGAACATCCTTTGTGAAAGCTCCATCTTTTTTTTTTTTTTTTTTTTATGCCCTTGTAATTTCTCGGAGATCAATGTACATGTTTTATTTTATTCAGTGTATTGTGCTAAATACCAATAAAACATATATATCACCAAGACGTGTTATTTCCTTTTTTTTTTTTTTTTTTTTTTTTAACACACTTTTGCAAGTGATGCCGTGCACCACCTTCTCCTTATTTTCTTCTTGACTTGCTAACAGTAGCTTGCCATTGTGAGTGGTTTCAGCTTTTGGCATTGTGAGAGCCGAATGCCCTCCAATCTGCTAATTTAAACAGTTGGCAGCTGGTGAAAGATGCTTCCCAACATCATCATTGCTATCTCTTTTTTTATTTTATTCTTTTTGAAAGATGTTTCCCAACATCATCATTGCCACCTTTTTTTTTTATTCTTTTGCCTTCACGCCTGAAGCCTTTATAATTATATATATATATATATATATATATATTTATTACTTGATGTCCTCCACCATGAAAGTTTTTTTTTTTTTTTTTTTCTTTTACATGGTGCCATCTACAATCAATGTTTTTATTATATATATATATATATATATATATATTTTTTTTTTTTTTAATTAATTTTTTTTTTTTTTTGAAAGATGCTTCCCAGCATCATCATTGCTACTTTTTTTTTTTTTTTTTTTTTTTTT